TCGTCTGAGAAGGGAATGTCCGGACATGCGTGCCACTGAAGGAGCAGTTTGCATCCTGCAAGCCTAACTTTTTTTGTTTTTTCTGTTAGCAGTTGTGCTTTTTGGATTTTGTAGGGTATTAACCCTAGTTTATTTTTAGCTATTCGTCTGACGGTCCTCTCACTTATTCCGGTTTCACGAGCCACTTTTCTCATGGAGGGTCGAGAATTGCGATGCACCTAGTTTTTGATCATTTTAATATTCTTGGAAGTGCTGACGGTACTCGGTCTTCCACTTTTTTGTAAGTTCTTAGTTGTGCCATCATTACTAAATTAATTTCAAAAAAATTTTCTCCCAAAAAATTTTCACCAGAATTTTTTGAAAGTGTATTGTACAGTGCTCTTTGGGACATTCAAAAGAGGTGAAATTTTGCGGACTGAATTTTTTTTCAAAAAAAGTGAAATTATAGAATCACGTTGATTAGCCATAATAGAGAATTGAATGAGCTAAAAAATAAGCATAAAATCGATTAAAAATATTGACAACAAAAAAAGTTATAAGGAATTTAAAAGTGTCCAATTACTTATGGTGCACCCTGTATTCCTGTCCAATTGTACCGCTGCCTAATTGTCTTATAATCGTAATTGACCAATTGTCATTTGTCCAAATATCGCGTTTTCGAATTGTCGCGTTTACCATCAAATCGATTTTTTGCATTTTGTATAAAAGAGAGTGTGTTTGCAGAGAAAAATTTTCTTTTCTCGTTAATGATTGCGTGGCATTGATTTTCTTTCTTTTTAAAGATTTTTTAGCTTATTTCTATTTTAGATTTTATTCTTTATTTATTTAAATTTTTTTATAATTAGTAGAGGATATTTTGCTCTTTAATTAGAAACAATGGTATTTTTAGTAAATTGGGAGCACTCCTGCCGTTTGGGGAGGGGGGGGGGCAGCTTTCTTACCTTTATATCTTTGGGAACCAGATTTTTTGACATAGGTCCTAGTTGAGCTAGGTCCTTATTGCTGAAGCTAGTGGCTGGTAAAATCGATTTTTCCGGACCTGGCTTCGGATTTGCAACGTGAGCCGGTCCGGATCCGGCCGGATTTCTCCGGATAATCCGGTCTGGTTTTAGTCCGGGGATTGCGAAAACCCTCGGATTTGTGACCCAGACTCGGGAAAATTCGTCTGGATCCAGTCCAGCCCCAGTCACTAGTGTAAGCTAATCAAAATCTGGTGACTCCCGTCATAGAAAAATCAAAAAATTCACATTAGTCTTATTAGGGTAAGAGGCCCCCTCCCCCCAAACTGCAGGAGTGCCTTAAGTTGATTTGTAATTGAAATTTATTTTTAAAGTACACCACATATGGTTATGGAACTTACGGCTATGGGGAAGATTACTCTGTAGGCGCTTACAATCCTCGTTACCACTATGCAGCGGCACAAAGTGCAGGATTCGATTTGAGGACTGATGATGGACTTCCAAAGACTATGTTTGTTTATTTAACGACTTTGGATTGTGTGTAGAGAACGGGGATGGGACGGGATTGGGAAAGAAGCTTGCTCAGGCTTTGAGTAGTATTGGGTTTAGGGTTAGGGTATATAAGAGTAGTCCGGTCAGGAAACCAAGGCGTGTTTGGGGGAAAAGTCTGCATGTGATTCTGATAGGGCTTTCAAAGTTTGGTATTCCGATCCTGGTCCCTCTCCCTTTTTTCCTACCCCAAAATCATATTTTCTTCTTCCTCGCCTTCCTCTAGATCAGATTTCGAAATATGTTTATGGTTTTGGGTAACCCGTTCATCCTTACAAGGAAAGGTTGTTAGGTGTCCGACCTAAGAACGGTCGAGACTGGGCTCATTCGATAGAGAATGTGCCCTTTCTAGCAAGGATTTTGAGCATTCTCTATCGAATGAGCCCAGTTCGACCATTTTTAGGTCGGACACCTCGCAACCTTGTTAGTATAGCAGGAATGTTGGGTGCAGTTAGGAAAACATTAGGCGTGTTTAAGATGAGTAAGCAGAGGTAGTGACCGCGAGTAACCTCGGTATTACCGCGGAATTACTTCACTTGACCTGAGCGTTGTGAGGTGATTGAGACCCTCTTTGCACGCCTTACGTCTCCAAAAATTAATTTTCTCCCGATTTTTCAGATATGTTGGCAATCTCGATCTTTCTGTGACAGAAGAGTTCATCGCCACGTTGTTCGGACAAATTGGCCCTGTTACCAAAACAAAAGTTATATTTGATGTAAGTTGGTTGGCAAGGCTTTGGAAGGATCAAAATAAAATCTCTACATTTTAGTGCAGGGTTTTCTAAGTTTATTTTTTTGCTTATTTTCTTTTCTTTTTTTACTTTTAAATTAATTCCTTCGGCTTGGTGAGGTCGAAAAAAAATTTTTTTTTAATTTTATTTTTTTCTCTTATTCTTTTCTTTTATTAAATTATATTTGAAAAATATTCATTGATAAAATCCAGGAACTGCTCCAAGGCAGAGACTGCTCTCCAAGGCTCTCCAAGGCACCTGAGAAAATCAAAAAAGAACTCTAAGTACCATTTGAAAATTTATTTTTTTCTTTTTTTCTTTATTCTTTTCTTATTATTAAATCCCCGTTAAGTAATCTAAGGAAATTTTGATAAAAAATGAGTGTGTTGCCCTGGGGGGAATCCGTTAAATTTTTAAATTTAATTTTTTATCGTTAAAGACAACTTCGGATCCCTATGCTTTTGTGGAGTTTACTGATCATACTACAGCCGCACAGGCTTTGCAGGCTATGAATAAGCGTATGTTGTTGGATAAGGTTTGTTTTTTGTTAATTTTGGGACAAAATTGCTTTTTGGGTTCATTTTTCCATTAGGAAAAATTACGGGCTTGGAGCGGGTTCGAACCTGGGACCCCCTACTCAATGAAATCAGAATAGCTTTTTTGTAAGTTAAGTTTTGTTTTTAGACAGTTTTGGGGTCGGATGGCTGGAGAAGAGTCAAATTGATTTTCTGAATTCATTTACCCAACAGAAAAAAAATAATAATCCCCGAGCGGGTTCGAACCCACGACCTCCCTATAAACCTTCAAAGTCAACTTTTTAAATTGTTTTGGATTAAAAACTTTAATTTTTTAGGAAATGAAGGTTAATTGGGCTATTCAACCAGGCACTCAACAAAAAGTGGACACGAGCAGTTAACTTTTAAATTTCAATTTTTTTTAATGCCTAACATTTTTAGAACATTTTCACATTTTTGTTGGCGATCTTTCGCCAGAAATTGATAATAAAGCTTTGAAAGATGCTTTTGCGCCGTTTGGGGAAGTTTCGTGAGTTTTTGTTTTATTCAAAAAAATTCGGGACTCGAGCGGGTTCGAACCCGCGACCCCCTACAAACCTTACCTTTTAATATTTTTAGTGATGCAAAGGTTATTCGCGATCCGGCAACTCTTATGTCTAAAGGTTATGGCTTTTGTTCGTTTCCAAAGCGTGATGAGGCTGAACGTGCCATCGAGCAAATGAATGGGCAATGGCTTGGGCGGAGAACAATTCGGACTAATTGGGTTTTGAATTGGACTTAAATTTTTTAAAAAATTTTTTTAAGGCAACTCGTAAACCTGGAATGCCAGGGATGCCTGGCGGTGTTCCTTTTGAATATAACAAGCCGACCGTTGACGAAATTATGGCTCAAACAAGCCCCGACAATACTTCGGTTTATATTGGGGGTGTGCCTCCAGGAGCTACAGGTTTTTATTTTGATGTTATTTTTGGTTTTTTGTTTCTAAAATTATTCTGGTAGTATTTCCTTTTTGTGTTTTGAGCGATTGACTTATCTGTCATTTTACGAAAAATATCGCTTTTGGTTAAGTGGGTTAGTTTTGTATATATGGACCATGGTTCGACCCCTCTTGGGACTAATCATATTTTTCTACAATGTTTACAATTTATATACTTTTAGAACTTTGATTTATAACATTCTTTTGAAAAAAAATTTTTTTCCATTTTCAGAAACCGAGATTCGCGACGCCTTCAAACGTTTTGGCAATATTGTCGACATTCGCCATTTTAAACCGCAAGGATATGCTTTTGTATTTATTTTTTAAATATATTTTTTAAAATTCATTTTAAAGGTTAAATTTGATACAAAAATTGCTGCCGGTAAAGCTATTGCTGAAATGAATAATGGAGAATTTTTGGGGCAAACTGTTCGTATGAATTGGGGGAAAGTTGAGGTTTGTTTTCTGATTTAAAAAATAGTAATTTTGGTTTAAATATTTTATTTAGTTAAAGGGAGAGTCTTTTTTGCTTTTTGGAAGAAAATAAAAATGTTTTACCCTCAGCGGATTCGAACCCGCAACATACTCCCATTACAGACCTAGACGTTAACCACTTAAACAAAATTTTTTTAAATTGGGGTTTCAATTATTTTATAAAATTTAGTAAGCTTTTTTGTAATTTTTATCGAAAAATAAAAATGTTTTGCCCTCAGCGGGTTCGAACCCGCGTCCTAACCCATTATAAGTCTAGACGTTAACCACTTAACCAAAAATTTTTTGATTTTTAATAATTTTTAATTTTAGGGAGCTGCTCCAAAAGGTTTGTTTTCGTTTAAAAATAAGTTTTACTACAATAAAATTTAAAATTTGCAGAAGTCCCAGGCATTTTCAATCCAGCGACTGCAGGAGTTAATCCATCAACTGTTGCTGCGGTTAATTCTGCACAGATGCAGCAATATTGGCAATACTATCAGGTTTATTTTGAAAAGAATTTTTTGGAAAAAATATTTTTTCTAGCAATGTCAACAAAATCCACAATGGGCAAGTTACTTTCAAGGACAGCAAAAATAAATAATGAGGAAAGTCTGGGAAAAGAAGTTGGAGAAGAGAGGGAAAATGAGGTTGTCGTCCCTATAATTTTGCTTTTTCTTTTATTATTATTTTTAATTAAAAAAAGTTGGTTGAAATTATTATTATTTTTTTTTGGGTTTTATTAAAGTAAATATTTTCTAAAAAATTAATTTTGAGTATTTAAAAAAAAATTTTCTTTGGTGTAGTGGGAAAGTGTTTGGTTTTTATGTTCAGGGGGTCCATGGTTCGAATCCTATGCCTGGAAAATTATTTTTCTAGGTCAGAAAAATGTTCTAAAAAAATATTTTATTTATAAAATTAAAATATTCAATGAAAATACAAAAAAATGAGTGAAGAAAATGCAATAAAAATAATTAAAAATCGAAAAAAAATTTTTGGAATGTCATTTTGTTAAAAAAATTACAAAATGGTCAAAAATACAAAATGTCAAGTATTTTACATCATTCCAGCCTTTTGTAAATTTTTCTGAATTATTGTGTCAATTACCGAACTAATTACAAGTTGTACTTGATTGGTGTCTGTTGCACATGTTTCGTGCATATAAATAGTTTTTCTGAAATTTTAAAATTATTTTGAATTTTTTTTTAAATTATTGTGGACTTGTCTGGGTGTTGATTTAATTCTGCAAATTTCATTTTAATAAAATTAACTGCTTCTTCGTAGTTTTGGGAGCCTGAAAAATTTAAATAGAAAAATCAGAATTTTTTTGAGATTCTGATTTCCAAAAAATTCTGATTTTGAAATTCTGATTTTTAAAAAATTCTGAAAATTTTCAGAATTTTTTGAGAATCAGAATTTTTATCAGAATTTTTTAAAAATCAGAATTTTTTGGAAATCAGAATTTTTAAAAATCAGAATTTCAAAATCAGAATTTTTGGAAATCAGAATTTTTTAAAAATCAGAATTTCAAAATCAGAATTTTTGGAAATCAGAATTTTTTAAAAATCAGAATTCCAAAATCGGAATTTCAAAATCAGAATTTCAAAATCAGAATTTTTTCTAGAAATCAGAATTTCCAGAAAATACAATTAATATATTTATTTTTACCTTCATAATCCGGAAAACACGTTGTAATATTAACTCTTTGTATTTTCTCAAGAAAAAGATCCTTTTTGTTCAAAAACAGAATCATTGCAGTATTTAAAAACCACGAACTATTACAAATTGAGGAGAATAATTGCATTGATTCAATCATTCGATTCTGGAAATATCAGAAATTTTTTATCAGAATTTTAAAATTTACCGTAGTTTCGTCTTCAAAAAGTACTTGATCATATTCGCTTATTGCAGTAATAAAAATAATCGCTTCAACATTGTCTTTAAAAATGAAAAAATTCTTTAGTGTAGTGGGAAAGTGTTTGGTTTCCAAATCTAGAGAGTCCATGGTTCGAACCCCACTCAGGGTAATTTATTTTTGTTTTTTTCAAAAAAAAATTTTTTTAAGCAAAATTTTCAAAAAATAATCTTTGGTGTAGTGGGAAAATGTCCGGTTCTTACGTTCAAAGGGTCCATGGTTCGAACCCCATTGAGGGTAATTTATTTTTATTTGTTCAGAAAAATGTTTTAAAAATATAATTTAACTAAAATCCTTGGTGTAGTGGGAAAGTGCTTGGTTTTTACACTTGGAGGGTCCATGGTTCGAACCCCAGTGAGGGTAATCTATTTTTATTTTGTCAAAAAATGTTTTAAAAATATTTACCAAAACAATGAATCCATTTTCTACGTTCTGAACGTTGTCCACCCACATCAAAAACTCTAAATTCCATATTGCCTTTAATAATAAATTTGACTTCCACAACGCCTGTAGTAGCAACCCTGGAGTAGAGTATATCTTGTTCTGTAGGTCTATAGCCGGGTTCGTGGATACGAGAGACTGAGTCGAGAAAACTGGAAAAATATTAGGGATTTAAAAAATATTTAAAGCTCAAACTATTTAGCAGAATCGTTGAGCTGATATTCACTGCGCATTTCATAAGCCTTTTTAACAGCTTTATCTCCCCATAAATTTTGTAAGGCCTTTGCAATTGGGTCGGTAAAAGGAAGATTTTCTTCTCCATTCTCTATAGCTCTAAAAATTAAATTTCTATCTCTTTCTTTTGAAGCATCATCCATTGGCATGTGTAGAACATTGTCCATTGCCTTAAAATTTTAAAAATTTTTCTTTAGTGTAGTGGGAAAGTGTTTGGTTTCTACGTTGGGAGGGTCCATGGTTCGAATCCCGTTGGTGGTAAATTATTTTTATTTTATCAGAAAAGATGTCTTAAGGTGTTTGATAGAAGATTTTAAGATTCAAAAAATTATTATGGGTAAATTTATTAAATTATGAACATAAAAATGCTAGAAAAATAAAAAATACAGGCTGACCAAACTAATTTAAAAATTCATAACTTAATAGAAACTTGGGTTATAAAACTGATTTCTAGACCATTTTATAGCCCAGAATCTCCTCTATCCGATAGATTTTAAAATAAGATTCTATCTTGATCGGTTAAAAAGTTACCAGTCAAAAACTAGCACTACCTTTAAAATAGCAGCCATTGAAGTCACTGTATTTGAATAAACGACAGCTTTGCGCTCATTAATTTCTTCTTCTGTAAAGCCATTACTGTGTAGAATTCTGGGAAAAATTGGAAAATTTGTTTTAATTTAAAAAGTTTATTTTGGAAAAATTTTAAATTTTTGTCCGCAAAAAACTTGCGGACAAAAATTCTTGTCCGCAAAATTAGTCCGAAAATTATTGAAAAAATATTTTTGCGCGATTCGGCATAAAAACAAAATACGTAACAGAATTACCAATTAACTAATTATATTTTAATTTTTAAAGTAAAAATTTACTGCATTTGTTTGAGCACAGTCGATTTTCCACACTCTCCTGCCCCCAACAATAAAAGTCTAAAAAATAAAAATTTTTTTAATTAAAAAAATTTTTTTACTTGATAATAGAAGAAGCAGCACGTCTATCACTTGTCAATTGTTTTTCTATAGCCTTGTTTTTACTAAGTTGCTCGCGAACTTCCTCGCTTTGGCAACTGGTCAAAAGACCGCCCATTTTAGTAGTATTTTTTGGTGATAAAACTGTGAAATCTGGAATTTTTTTTAAATTTTTATAATTTTTTAAAAATTAGTCTAAATCGAAAAACACATAAAAACACAAAATTCTGCATAATAGGCGAAATTTTCAAAAAAATGTAATTTTTGGTGTAGTGGGATAGTGTTTGGATTTTACGTCAGGGGGTCCAAGGTTCGAATCCTCCGCAAGGTAATTTATTTAATTAGGCCAGAAAAATGTTTTTAAAAAATATTTTGATTAAAAAACGGACTGGAAAATATATTTTTTATTTTTTTAAGCGATAATTAAAGGCGTAAATTAAATAAAATGCCCTTACTTAAAATTTAATTAAAGTTTACCTTATTAAATTAAAAAAAAATTAAATGAAGTCAATAAAAATTGTTGTATATTTAATTATTTAAAATCAGAAAATAATAAAGAAATTAGTTGAAATGGTAAAAATATTTTTTAGTTTTTAATAGAAAAATAGGCATTTAATGCCTAAATAAATAAATAAAAATTGTTGTTGTTGAAGAATGGAATGTGTAAATTTAAATTGATATTAGTTAATAGAGTAGTTTTGTGGTGTATAGCTGTTGAAAAAAATTGAGAAAAAATTAAGAGAAAAAAGGGAAATTAAAATTAGTTTTGAGGAAATTGGGTGGAAAAAATAAAAAAAATAAGGGGTGAAGGGCATGACCGGGCATGTTTAAAGCTTCATAGCTCTTTCAAAAATTAATATTTTTAGATTATTTTGATACCATTCGATAGAGAATTAAATTCTCTATAAAATAAAATTTAAATCAAAATTTTTGGTTAATTGGCAGAAATGTTGAGGACAAAAACCCAACAAAAACACGTAAAAAGGTTAGTTTTTGGGCCATAACTTTTGCAAATAAAAACCTAAAATTTTGCTTTAGGGCTTGTTTTGTAGCTAATTTAATTCTCTATCGAAAGGTACTAAAATTAGCCAAATAGGTTTACTCAGTCAAAAGTTATGATGGCTAGAAGTTTGACGGTCACTTACAGTCAGAGGAGGTTCCAGTCTTTTTATTGGAAATGAAAAAATTTTAAAATGGAAAAATCTTGAGAAAATTTTTAAAAATTTTAGCAAAAATAGAGCAGACATTTGGCTTTAAAATAAACCAAAAATGAATTTTCTACCTCACAAAAAATATTTAAATTTAAATTTTTTTTGTAGTCTTTTTATTATAGTCTCTATTCAGTTAGCACATAAATAATTTATATTTTAATTTTAATTAAAATAATGAAACTTTTTCTTAATATTTCTACCTATTTACACCTGTGACGCAAAAAGAAAACTTTGCGTGATTAAAAAAAAATTTTTTTTTAATATTTTGAATTTAATAAGGTATAAGGTCCAGACTCAAGTGACCCTTTGAGAGAAAAAAAATTTTTTTCGTTCAAAAAAATTTTTTTTTCGTTTAAAAAAATTTTTAAATTTTTTAAAAATTAAATTTAACAAGAAGTAAAATACAAAAAATTTAATTTTATAATTAAAAAAGGAAGTAAAATTTATCAGATTTAAATTAATTAAAATATTAAACTTGAAAATAAAAAAAAATTTTAGACACGCAAATAATTACTAAAAATGGTAAAAAAGACAATGAAAAATTTAAAAATAATTTTATTTTATTAAAAATAGAGGTTGATAGTTGCTTAATTTTAAAGAAAAATTTAGAAAAAAATTTTTTAAAGTTATTTTTAGACAAAAATGAGTTATTTGTACAGGCATGTTTAGGCGCAGCAACGACTGCGCGGATGTCTATAAAATAGTCAAAAGGAAAGGTAAAGTTCTGAAATTTTGTATTTAAATACCTGATACTCTTGACTAATAATTCTGAAAATTTCAGAATTTTATCAGAAATATTTCAGAAGTTATGGCCAAAAAAGGACCAAAATTTGGCCAAAAATTCTGATTTTTCTGGTTTTTTGGCCATAACTTCTGAAATATTTCTGATAAAATTCTGAAATTTTGTAAAGACATTGTAAATATGCTTAGCTAATAATTCTGTAAATTTCAGAATTTTATTGCATATATTTCACAAGTTATGGCCAAAAAACCAGAAAAAATCAGAATTTTTAGCCAAATTTTGGTCTTTTTTGGCCATAACTTCTGAAATAATTTAAGTAAAATTCTGAAATTTTCAGAATGATTAGCTAAGAGTATTAGGTATATAAATACAAAATTTCGTGATTTTAGGTGCTTTAAAAGCTGTTCTATAAGCATTTGCGTAAGCGTTGTTGCGCCCAAACCTTATAAGGGGTTTAGTTAAAACATTGACTGCTCCCTATTAAATCAAAAATATTTTCAAAAAAGGCAACAATTTAAAAAAAATATTTTTTAACAGGTGTTAGTTAAAAAAATAAATAAGCGAAAATTAAAAAAAAATTTTTTAAGAAAATTTTTCAAAAAAAATTTTTTTTTTAATGCCTCAAGGCCCAAAAACAAAAACAGCAAAAATAAACAAATAAATAATTAAATAAATATTAAAAGAAAAATAATTAATTTTTATTTTATTTTTAGCCTTTTGTGAGAATAAAAAAAATAAAAATTAATAATTAAACTGTAAAAATCGAAGAGAAAAGAAATTTTATTGAAGGGCATTTGCGTGCCAATTTTTGCAAAAAAAATATTCCAATTTGGGGAACAAAAGGTAAATTTGTATTATTAACGGAAATTGTGGGAAATACCAAGAAAGGCGTAAGAAAATTTAAAAAAAATTAAAAAGGGGACATTTGAGTCTGAAAAAATAAAAAAAGTTGGGGCGCCAACCTAAAGGGGGGACTGGGACGCCTTGGCGCGAACTGGGAGTTTCGGCGCGGGGGCGTTTAGGCGCGAGCTTATAAAACAGTGAGTTGCTAGTCAAGAAAGATAAAATTTTGCAATAATAACTCTCCTGCCTTTATCTATGTTCTCCAAAAATTTCAAAATTTTTGAACAAGAATTTCAAAAGTTGTGGCCAAAAATGTTGATTTTTTGAAAAATGCCTAATTTTTCGAGGGTTATCAACTATAACTTCAGAAATATTTTATGAAAATTCTGAAATTTCTGGAGGAGGTAGTCGAGGATGTTAGAGAAATTTGAGAAAATTCTCGTGAATTTAGGGTTTCGCCTAAGTGCCAGTTCTGAGTCTCGCGCCAAAACGGCATGGCGCCAAAACGTCCTTAACCCAACCAAAAGGTGTTTAAAGGCTTATAACTTTTTTTAAAATAAAGATATAAATTTAATTTAAACGTCTAAAAATAGAAGAGAGTTGAGGCTATAAAATACAAAGAAATTAGATTAGAAAATTAAAAATTGAAAAAGTTGTGATTATTTAAAAACTAATTTAATTAAATTTTTATTTAAATTCTTCCGGTTTTTTGTCGAATAATTTCTGGGAAGGTTAAGGTTAAAAATTAAATTTGATGTTAAAAGAAAAGGGAAGGGTTTTAGAGTGTAAACTAAAAGAAATTTAAAAAATTTAATTGATTTTCTCGGCGCAAACACTTTTTGGCGTAGCAAATATTCACCAGAAACAGGCTGCGCCAACAATTCTGCGCCGAAATGTTTTTTTCTTTTAAAATTATTTTCCGGAAAATAAATTATTCCGGCGCAAAGGTTTGGCGTCAAGCAATAAATACACGTCTTAAGACTGCGTCGAAAGAATCCCGCGCCGAAACGTTTAATAATTTTTAAATAATTTTAAAATAAAATTAGGTCTTAAATTATTAGTTTTGTGTCAATTCTCATGGTTAAACAAAGGCAAAAAAATAAAATTAAAACAAAAAATAAAGCAAAAAATAGTAAAAAAAGAGCGAGGGTATATTTACCTTTTCTAATAATTTTTTTTTTAATTTTTAAATCTACCGGAAATACAAGTCTTGTGTGCCTCAAAACTAGCAATTGTCTCTCTCTTTGGGGAATTATAATTAATATAAGAGAGGATTTTTAAATAAATACAAAATATATAAAATGATTGCCTGCGCGAAAGGGAAAAAATAAAAAAAAAATTTTTTTTATCTCACCCTCATTAAGTACCCCATTGTTTCCGTTCCATTGCCCAGGTAAATAATAATAATAAAAAAATATTTTTCCCGTTGGTTTTAAACAAAAAATGTGTAAAAAATAAAGGAAATTAGCTTTTTATTAAATATTGAGGTTTTTCGGCGCGGACATTTTTTTGGCGTGGAAAATGCCCCGGAAATAGGCCGCGCCGACAATTCTGCGCCGAAATGTTTTATTATTTTTAAATTATATTTTTCCGGAAAAGAAATTATTTCGGCGCAGAATCTTGGCGCCAAGTAATAAATCGCCGCTCGTCAAAAAGACGGCGCCGAAATAATTAAATAATTTATTTGTTTTGGTAATAAGGGCAGCTTTTTAATAGGGGATTTACATAATCAATGAGGTAAAATTTAAAAAAAAAGTGCAGATTTGTAGTGGAATTTAAAGAGGAATAATTTTTATTGTTTTTTTTTAATATTTTTGTAGATAGAAAGAGTCAAAGTGGGGTATAATGATATTTGCGGACAAACTTTGCGGATTTTAATAGATTCTAGTTTTGTCCACAGAAATCTGTCCGTGAGAAATAGCCAAAATATGAACGAATTTTTTAAATTATATTTTTATTTCGAGGGAGATTGGAAAATTAAAAAAAATATTTTTAAATAATATTACATATAAACGTCAAATGATTAAATTAAAAAAATAACATCTACTCGAATATCAAAAAATAATTTAATAAATCAAATTTGCGAACAAAACTTCCGAATTTTTTTGGAGTTAATGGAAAAATCATCTAGGATTTTTAAAGGGTAAATTTATAATTACTAATGTAAAATACAAAAAAAAATAAAATTAAGTCATCTTCCTCTCAAAAATTTGTTTTAAAAAAATTAAAGGGTAAAAATTAAGAAAAAAAATTTTAAACTAAAAAATAAATTACTAAGTTATTTATTTTTTTGATAATTTTTATTGCTTGGCAACGGCATTAAATGAACAAATTTAATAATAAAAATAAAATATAATAAAATTTGTGATCATTTTTTAAAATAACATTAACAGGAAAAAAATTTTTTTTTCTATTTTTTAAATTTTTTTAAAGGGAAAACTAAAAATTTAACTTAAAGGGAAACGTTTAAGAATATCATTATGGCGTTGGAGTAAATTTTTATTTTAGAAATTTCAAAGTCTCCCCCTTTTTAATATTTTAGAATTATAAAAAATATTTGTAGATCCACGGAAAGTCCTTAATTTTGCTAATAATTTTTTGGTAAATTTGCATATAACTGTTGTCCTGAATGAAGCTTAAGCTAAATATCTGTAAAATAAATATATAGGGCAAACAAAAATTAAATCGAAATAATTTAAATGTAACAGTAACAGTGTTTTGTTTGTGGAGTTTCTTCCGTATGGGATGGTCAGAGTTACAACCATCGGACACCACAATTACTACGTAAATAGATTTTACAATTTCTAATTTATACAATTTTGTAGGGCTTAAACCCACGCACTGAACTTGATAATTTTTTTTGGAATTAATTTGGTTAAATGTCCACCAACTGATTATCCTTTCGCTGCTTGGTATTTTGTGAAGGACTGTCATACACTTGTTGAAGCTTTGGGTATTTTTTGTTTAATTCAATTTTTTATTTTGGTTGAACACAGTTGTAAGAGTTCTAAACCTGACCTCACCCAATGCTCAAGGAATTCCGCATAAATTCCGCATAAATAATAGAAGAGGATGAATTTTAGGGGGATACCAGAGTTGCGCGAAAATAAAATTTTGATCTCAACGAAACAAAAAATAGAATGATTTCAGAGAAATGAAACAAAAAATAAAATTCATTTTTAAGAAAAAAACCGAAAAATTTCCGCGCAGCCCCGGAAAGATGTTATGGGGGTGGTGGTTAGGTATATATACATATTATATACAAAAACTAGTTTTTTTAATGCATGTTATTTATAAGAGATTTTCTGCAGTAGAGGTAACAATACATACTGGGAAATCAAGAATGTGAGTAGATCACAATTGACAAAAAATCAATAATATGGTTCGTGTCCGAAAAACGTGGCAATGAATTCTTCAGTCATGGCATTTGGCTTTTTCATTCAGGATCAGGATGATTGATCCATGCATTATATTCCTCTCGTGAGTTATGAAGGGTGGAGACACGAAACATTGTTTATGGGTCTAATTTTGATGGGTCTACAATAATAGAAGAAAGGGGGGAATTATATGAAAATCCAAACGACAGGCAAAAAAAATCTTCTATTATTGTAGACCCATCAAAATTAGACCCATAAACAATGTTTCGTGTCTCCACCCTTCATAACTCACGAGAGGAATATAATGCATGGATCAATCATCCTGATCCTGAATGAAAAAGCCAAATGCCATGACTGAAGAATTCATTGCCACGTTTTTCGGACACGAACCATATTATTGATTTTTTGTCAATTGTGATCTACTCACATTCTTGATTTCCCAGTATGTATTGTTACCTCTACTGCAGAAAATCTCTTATAAATAACATGCATTAAAAAAACTAGTTTTTGTATATAATATGTATATATACCTAACCACCACCCCCATAACATCTTTCCGGGGCTGCGCGGAAATTTTTCGGTTTTTTTCTTAAAAATGAATTTTATTTTTTGTTTCATTTCTCTGAAATCATTCTATTTTTTGTTTCGTTGAGATCAAAATTTTATTTTCGCGCAACTCTGGTATCCCCCTAAAATTCATCCTCTTCTATTATTTATGCGGAATTTATGCGGAATTCCTTGAGCATTGGGTGAGGTCAGGTTTAGAACTCTTACAACTGTGTTCAACCAAAATAAAAAATTGAATTAAACAAAAAATACCCAAAGCTTCAACAAGTGTATGACAGTCCTTCACAAAATACCAAGCAGCGAAAGGATAATCAGTTGGTGGACATTTAACCAAATTAATTCCAAAAAAAATTATCAAGTTCAGTGCGTGGGTTTAAGCCCTACAAAATTGTATAAATTAGAAATTGTAAAATCTATTTACGTAGTAATTGTGGTGTCCGATGGTTGTAACTCTGACCATCCCATACGGAAGAAACTCCACAAACAAAACACTGTTACTGTTACATTTAAATTATTTCGATTTAATTTTTGTTTGCCCTATATATTTATTTTACAGATATTTAGCTTAAGCTTCATTCAGGACAACAGTTATATGCAAATTTACCAAAAAATTATTAGCAAAATTAAGGACTTTCCGTGGATCTACAAATATTTTTTATAATTCTAAAATATTAAAAAGGGGGAGACTTTGAAATTTCTAAATAAAAATTTACTCCAACACTAAATTTGTATCTATTCCACTACCTCCCCACAAATCTTCCCAAACCCCCGCCCACCCCCCTCTCAGTCAGGGAATAATCCTAATCTCAACCCATCTTAATCAAAGGGTGTCTAAAAAATAGAATTAAATTTTAAAGACAATATTAAAAATAAAAAAATCTTTAAAAATTTTTTAAACCATCCTTCTCCAAAAGAGCGTATCCTTGAAGTTTGAAGTGGCGAATGTCGAAATATTTCCAAAGCGTTTGAAGGCGTCACCATTTTCAGTTTCTGAAAAGAGAAAAATTTTTGAAAGGAAATATTATAGATTAAAAGAATATTTTGCGATCGGAATGTGTCTAGCGGTACTTTATGGATATGTCACCCCCCCCTCCTATTTTGAGTCTCAGAGTTTTCCTTAAACGTAGAAAATGGTCAGAGATTATTTTCTTCTCAATGTCAATCATTTTTTTCTTCTTCAAGTATTTTGCTTGTTTATTTTGCCTTTTCACATATTTTGTACTTACATTTCATGCATTTCGTTTATACATTTACCACATTTGCTTGAAGAAAGAAAAATGATTGACATGGACAAGAGAATAATTTCTGACCATTTTCTTCGTTTAAGGAAAACTCTGAGACTCAAAATAGGAGGGGGGGGGGGGGGTGACATATCCATAAAGTACCTGTCTAGCCCCAAGAGGGTTCGAACCAAACATGGGCGGAACATTTTACGTGTATCTCGTTTTCTAGCTAGGGGTTTTCCCATTTCTGACGAAACAATTTTAAATTTGATTCGTTTCGTTAACGAAACATAACCTTAAGCAACTCGTAGAAGTTCGAACTTCCTAACAGAAGTTCGAACAACCAACGTGGGAACCCTTAACTCTTACAGGTCAAAACCAGGACCAAAACCAAATAACAAAAAATGTAAAAACCTCAAGCAATTCCATAACGGGAACAGGATTGAAAAAGTGAAGTCCACCAAAAAGTTCCTTGTGTTTTAAATTTGCAGCAATATCCGTCAGTTTTAAAGATGAAGTGTTTGTTGCCAAAATTGTTCCACTAAAATTGTTAAGAAAATTTTTAAAAAATTAAAAAAAGGAATTTTGAATGTTTGGCCCCATTTTCATTTCATCCTTATTTTCCCTATTTTGCTTCTGTTAAGCAAATCAGTAGTGACAGTTGAAAAGCACAGAATACCCAAAAATTAAATTTTTGGTTAAAGTAGGTCCGTTATAGGTTTAAAATTTTAATGGTCGATGGTTCGAAACCTTTTAGTGCGTTCTTATTTTTTCGTATTCCACGAAGCAGTCAAATCCTACATGTCTAAACCGAGCCCAAGACCAAAGGAAAATAAAGAATGAACCCCCAAAGTTCAAAATCACCCAAAACCCGTTAAAACAAAAAACCTCTTAACAGCATTCTCAACTCTGTCGAGCAAATTTTGTTTAACCTCCACATTTTCCACAATAGCTTCAATAACCAAATCAGCCTTAGAAACAGCTTCGGCAACATTTGTCGACAACGCAATATTTTTCAGAACTTTGTCAATCAAATTTTTTTGTTGCTGAAAAATAAATGGGGGTAATACTGAAGAATACAGACCCGATTTTTTCCTCCCAATTTTCCTTCTATATTTTTAAAAAATGGTCAGACTTTTTCCTTCCTTCCATCCAATTTGCATTTCTAATTTTTGCCTACAATCAAAAAAAGGATTATTTTTGGTATTTGACAAGTATAAGTTTGAGAAGACTCATTTTCTCTATTAAAACAGTAAATAAAATATCAAAAATAATCCTTTTTGTTTGATTGTAGGCAAAAATCAGAAAGGCAAATTGGATGGAAGAAAGGAAAAAGTCTGACCATTTTGTAAAAATATAGGGGGAAAATTGGGGAGGAAAAAATCGGGTCTGTATTCTTCAGTATTACCTAAATGGGATCTGGTCTAGTTTATGAGTCCAATGAAGTTTATAGTGGCCGACCTATCTCCCCAAAATCTGCAGCATTACAGGTGAACTTATTGCAGATATGTATGAGTGGTGGTACACCCACCCACCGTTGGCTGGTGACTCATGGCATAAACGTTTAATGAGAAAAGATGGCTGACCTATTTTTCACCTTAATATGTTCAATAAGGTCAGACAGGGAAGACAAGACGAGGGGCTCTAAAAATAGGGAAGACAAGACGAGGGGCTCTAAAAATAGGGAAGACAAGACGAGGGGCTCTAAAAATAGGGAAGACAAGACGAGGGGCCCTACCTCAGTTCCTCCTCATAACCAAATAAGTCCCGATTAACTTAAAAAACCTTTTTCTGTTCCTGCCTCCTCCAAAACAAAAGAAGCTGGTGACTCAAGGCATAGATTGTCCATTTAATGAAGAAAGTCTGACCATTCTGTACATATTCCCTTTGTTGTTGTTGTTGAAAAGTTTGGAGAGGCTATCAAAGAAAATTATAGCAAAAAAGAAATTTATCAAGAAAACCTGTTTGTTTTTTGAAAATTATCACACTACACCAAAGCGGCAACTTTAATTGGGGGTGGTTGTTAAGAAAAGGGAGGCAGGGCAAAAGAGTGTGGAAATTAAAAGAGACTAAAAGTTTGCTTTTATAGTAAACTTTTCTTTTCAAAACAACGCCCCGCGAAAATAAGCGTTTAAAATAACACACTATTTCTTTACTTTTTTTCTCTAATGTTTATTTTCGTTGTAAAACAAAAAAAGTTTGAGTCTCGGTCAGTTGAGTCTCTGTTATTTTTGGATGTAAGTCTTTTGTGTTTCCTACTTTTTCGGACAAGTTTGGTATCATTCGAAAGCTCTGGATGTGCAGATTCTGAATCTTTAAATGTCAAATCAATACGATCATCGAGTAAAATGTTAGAGCCAAAAGAAGACCGAAAATCGTGATTTTTCTAACCTAACAATTTTAGCTTTTTAGGGAATACTCGAAAAAATTTTGACTTTTCTTCAGTTTAATAAATGTCACAACATCACCATAATCATCAAAATCACCCAAATATTCCTTCCAATATTCCTTATCAATTAAATATTGTCAATTCTACAAATACTTCAATGCCTTCTTTTAATTATTTAACTGAACAACAACCCAATGATGTTTACGAATTCAACGACAGTCCAGAAGAGGACAAAATGGCTGCTCCAATGACTTCAAACTATTTTCAAAATATATCCCCAAGTATTTCAACGTCTTTTAATCAATACAAAAGTCCGATTACAGGTTTTTAGTTAAATTGATTTTTTAGTTGGGTGGAGTTGGGGGGTCGTGGGTTCGAACCCGTTCGGGGTCCTGAATTTTTTTAAAGAATTTTTTTCTTCGTTAAATAGTTAAAATGTTACCTGTATTCGCCTAAATACGAAATTATATGTTTCAGATTAATTTTAGACCGATAAATTTTATTTTAAAAATTCGGGGCCCCGAGCGGGGTCGAACTCGCGACCCCCCTAAGAATTCTTTCAAATTATAAAAAAATTTTTTAAATTTTTTTAATTTCTACAGCCTCTCCAAGCTTTTCAACAACCCCTAAACGAATAAAAACGGCGATGCTAGCAAAAAAATTGGTTGCTGCTGCAGCAGTGGAGTCCTCTTCAAGCTCTAACAAGTTAAATCTGGTGGAAAGTTTACCCGAACCAAAACCTGAAACTGTGGAATTTTGTCAAAAAATTGAGAATCAAGTCAAAAGAGAAGAGTTTCACGAAAAAGAAGGGACTGAATTAAAAATTGGAAATGAATTAAAAATTGAAGGATCCGATGAAATTAAACAACAACTTTTACAACAACCACACAGAGCCTATTCTTTTACTTGTGGAGGAGTGCAAGAACAAAAAAAGGTTTTTTAAATTAATTTTTAGGTTGTTTAAGACGGGGAAAATTTTTTTAAAGTTACCCTAGCTTCTAAAAAGCAATAGTTTAACTTTTCTTGACCAGTATTTTATTTAAAAAAATTCAGGGCCTTGAGCGGGTTCGAACCCACGACCCCCTACAAATGCCTGTCAGAGAACTATAAATTCAAAAAAATTTTCTTTTAAGGTCCCTCCTCTAAGAATTTCTTTAATAAAAACGCCAAGTGAAGATGGGGAGTCTCAACCAGTATTGTATTCACCAGTCAGTTCTGTTCGAAAAACTAAGAGGGCAACTGGTGGACGTTCAAATACTACTAGTTCAAAGAAGGAGGAAATGAGGAGAGTGACAAGGTTTGAAAAATGAATTTTTACTTATTAAATTGCTAGAAATGCTTAAAATTAAGTAAAAATGGGAGATTTGATAATTTAAAAAATTCGGGCCCCGAGCGGGTTCGAACCCACGACCCCCCACTCTACCCCTGATAATTGGGGTTTTGGTGTGTATTTGTTCAGAATTTTTCTGAAAACATTTTTAATGCCCCAAAATTTATAAAAAAGATTTATTTATTATTTTGAAGGAGCAGAGTTCGCCAAACAACTAATTTAAATGATGGAGACGATAACCACCAACAACCCCAACCTTACAGAAAACGTCCAAAGCGAACATTAGAAAATTATAATTCTTCAAATATTGGATTTTTGGAAGAAGAGGATGCTAGTAGTGCTGCTGAGGGTGCCTGTGAAGATAATTTGATGATAGATGAGGATGAAAATGATGAACAAAAAAATGAGGAAAATTCACAGCATAGCAGTTCTAAAAGTGTTTCTGAAGTTGTAAGTTGGAATTTTTTGTGAGAATTTTTTCGTTTAAAAAATTTTTTGAAGGTCGATTTTGGGTCATAAACTAACAGAAATTAATATTTCTTATTTTTATGGAATTTAAAAAATTTTGGGCACTGAGCGGGTTCGAACCCACGACCCCCTCCCCCTCCTCCTACTTTATAATTTTTGCCTGAAAATTTATTTCCAGCACAGCGCTAGTCGTTCTACAAGTATTTCTGCATTGGCAAGTGGAAAAGAACAATCGCAACAAAATTTGGAAAATGAAAAGAATAATGGAGGAAATGATGCAAGTAATACTACAACAACAACAACCCCTTCTGTTGCTGCTACTCTTTTTGCTAAAAATAGTTTTGAACAAAGTATTTGTTATGAGACAATGGTTTGTTTGTTTTAATATTTTTTGATAATTTATTCGTGTTAAAAAATTAATTATTAAGGAGTTTTGTGAAAATTCATTTTTAAAAAATTCGGGGCCTCGAGCGGGGTCGAACCCACGACCCTTGCTGGTTTTAGGCTTGGCATTTTTATGTTTTGTTCTTTTTTAAATTTTATTTCTAGGTTTTTTGCGTTAAAAAAATTATTTTTTTAACAGTTTTATGAAAATATATTTTTAAAAATATTCCGGGCCTTGAGCGGGTTCGAACCCACGACCCCCTAACTTACTCCAAACCTTTTTCAAAAAATATTTTTTGATATTTTAATTCAAATTTGAATAATAAAACTACTTTTTTTATATATTAGATGCACAATAAATGGACACAAAATTATGTTGAACATTTAACTTTTCTTGTGGAAACAATGCAAAGTACAGATGACAGTCAAGCAACGAGGTTTACAAAGACAACAAAAAATTTTTCTTCAAGCGGACATGAAAAACAAAATAATGAGGTTATTTAAAGGCTATTTTAAGTTTAGAAAAATTTTTTTGAAAGATTTGTAAAGATTTGCCAGAAGTTCTTAAAAAACTTTTTTTGGAACAAGAGAAACGAAGGCATGAATTAGCAGAAGAACACAATTTAGATAAAGAAAGGATTACTCAAATGGCAGAGAGGGAAATGTGTAGAATTGGGGGTGATAGAAAACAACAACTTTTTCCTGTTGGTTAGTTTTTTTGAAAAATTTTTTGGAAAATTTTTTAAAATTTGTAGGGGGTCGTGGGTTCGAACCCGCTTCTTGTCTCAAATTTTTTAAATTATATATATTTGACTAAAATAAATTAAAAATATATAATTTCACATTTTGGCTCAATATTAGTCGTATTTAGCATTTTAGTCGAAGAAAAAATTTTTTCTTGAATTCAAGGGCCCTAGCGGGTCAGAAGGCCCCAGTGGTTTCGAACCCACGACCCCTCAAGAGCCCAAAAAATTTTTATTTTTTAGTTTCTTGTCTCCGCGATTTTGTTTGTCATGACCCTACATTATTATCCCAATCAATGCAAAATTTAGAAGAAAGGAGGCCTCGAATGTGCACAACCCCTTCAATTAATCAATTTAAACAACGTTTCAATAAACTCGTAAATACAACAAAAAATAGGCATTTATTGGAAGCACAGTCGTTAATGGAAGTTCAGGTTTATTTAAAAAATTTATTTTTAATTTATTTGTGTAGAAAATTTTTTGTTTTTGATTAAATAAATTTGGTTGTGTTTTTAAAATTTCGGGATCCGAACGGGTTCGAACCCACGACCACCAACCAAATTTATTTTTTATTTTTTTAATTAAAAATAGGATGGTATCTTGAGAATATTTTTAATAATTCTAAAATTAATTTTTATTAAATTTTTTTGTCTTTACTTAGTTAAATTTGGTTGCGTTTTTAAATTTCGGGCCCTGAGCGGGTTCGAACCCACGACCCCCACCAAACCCATGATCCCTTTTTTTAATTTTTTAAAAAAATAGAAGAGCATTTTTTTAATATTTTTAAGAATTCAAAATTAATTTTTTTTAATAAAATTTTACTAAAAAATTTCTTAAAAAAATTATTTTTATTTTTATTAGATTAAAAATGGGAGGGTATCTTGAGAATATTTTTAGGAAACCAAAATTAATTTTAAAATTTTTTTTGTTCAAAAAAAATTATTTTTTCAAGAAAGCAGATTGGCACAGAACAGCACTCAAATTACAAAAAGAACAAGAACAACAACAACAATTATTGCTAAAAGGTTTAATTCAAACTTCAAAAAAACAACAATCCATTATACCACAAATTTTATTCCCTCCTGATTTGTGGGTAGAAAAAGCTGTAAAAATGGTAGAAATTACAAATGCTCAATTACCCCAATTTAAGTAGGGTATACAAAAAGGTTTTTAATTGTAATTAATTTTTTAAATGTTTTCCGGAATGTTGACTCTTTTTTAGTTTCCGGAAAGATAATAGAATTTTCCGGAAAGAAAATATAAAATTTTCCGAAAAAATATGAACTTTCCGGAATGAGAATAGAATTTTCTGGAGAAAAAGAAAAAAAATTTTCCGGAAAACAAATATAAATATTTTCGGAAAAATATGAAATTTCCGGAATCAGAATAGAACTTTCCGGAGAAAAAGAAAAAAAATTCCGGAAAACAAATATAAACATTCCGGAAAAATATGAAATTTCCGGAATGAGAATAGAATTTTCTGGAGAAAAAAAAAAATTCCGGAAAACAAATATAAATATTTCCGGAAAGAGAATATAACCGGAAAAGATTAAAATAAATTTCAGGGGGAGTTCCTGGTTAATAGAGAACATTTTCCGGAAAACAAATACAACCGGAAAGAAAATAGAACAAGAAAAACCTATTACATTTTCCGGAATGTTACTCCTGTTTATTTCCAACTTTCTATTTTCCGGAAAATTATATTTTGTTTTCTAAGAATTTTGATTTTAGTAATTTTTTCGAAAAATTTCAGAAAAATTTATTATTCATTTAAGATTTCCGGAAAATTAATTTTCTTTATACTATTGACTTTCGTCAACTCTATAATATTATTATTAATTATTTAATTTTTTTTAAATATGTTTAAATAAATTTCTTCAAAAAAAATTTTTTTTAATTTATCAAAATTATTTATTTTTTAAAATAAATTTACATATTTTTAAATTACCCTCTCACCTATTTTTTATTTCATATTTAGGTTATTTTTTTGAAAATAAATGTTTGGACGTAGCAGACTTGTTCGTCTACTTATTGAAAAAGAAGAATCTGATCAAATTTTACTGGCAACCTCAGAAAGTTTTTTTTTAGTTTAAAATTGAAAAAAAAATTAATTTTTAAGGTGATCATTGGTACTCTATCAATTTACAATTATTAAATGATTCAAATTTGAAAAATTGTTTTATTCCTTCAAATTATGATGAAGAAACAGAACAATACCTTAATAATTCTTTTGAAATTAGCAACAATGTTTGTTTACAGGTTTAGAGACTTTTTAAAATAATATTGTGTTTCCGGAAAGGTGTCCTTTTTTATATTATTTTTCCGGAAATTATAATTTCTTAGATAAATAGAACTTTCCGGAAAACATAAAAATAAATCTTTCCGGAAAATACAAATGTTCTCGGAATATTTATATTCTATTTTCCGGAAAGATTTATTTTTATGTTTTCCGGAAAGTATTCTATTCATTCAGAAGACTCGTAAAAATATAGAAAATTCCGGAATGTTTATATTACGTTCCGGAAAGGTCTCTATGCTACGTTCCGGAAAGGTATACCTTTTTGATATTTTTCCGGAATATAGGTAATATAAATATTACCAGAAAATATGTTTACCTTTCCGGAATATTTATTACTATTTTATTTTCCGGAAATATATTTTATTTTTATATTTTCCGGAAATTGTTCTATTTCATTCATAACTTTCTGGTAGGGTTATATTTTTCGGAAACTTTCTAGTCCATTTTCAGGAAATTAAAAACAACTACTTTAGATTTATTATTCATTTATGGCTTCAATTCTCTCCCTTTTCTTCACAAAAACTAATATTAATGGAATTCTTGGAAGGTTTTTTTTAATTCAAAAATTTTTTTACTTTCCACTATTTTTTAGAGGCAACATGTTTCTTTTCTCCCACAATTTTTTACAAAAATTTTTAAATTTTCCTTCTGACTGGAATTCAACAGACAAAAGATTAATTGATATTGGGGCTGGAGATGGGACAATTACATTGGTTTTGCAAAGGTTTTTCAAACACGTTACAGCTGTTGAAGCTTCCAAAGTATGGTGAGGAGAATATTTAGTGGATGATTAAAAAAATTTTTTGAATCTTTTTTTGAAATTTTTTTAGAAATTTTAAAATTTTTTCGAAAATTTCAAAAAAATTTTTCTAAAATTTTTTTTGAAATTTTCAAAAAAAATTTTTCAAAAATTTTTTTTGAAATTTTCAAAAAATTTTTTTTTGAATTTTTTTAGAAATTTTTAAATTTTTTCAAAAATTTTTTGAATTTTTTTGAAAAATTTTTGAAAATTTATCAGAAATTTTTTAGAAATTTTTTTAATTTTTGAAATTAAAAAAAAAATTTTTTCGGATTTTTTTTGTAAATTTTTTGATTTTTTCAAAAAATTTTTCCCTCCAGGTAATGGAATGGCGCTTAGCCCAACACCATTTTAAAATCCTCAATGTTGATAAATGGCAACAGAGTGGACCCTATGACCTCATTTGTGCCTTAAATTTGCTCGATCGTCACTATGCCCCAACCCAATTATTAAAGCAATTGCATTCCTTGGCCTTGTCAAATGGTTGTTTTTTACTACTTTCTGTTGTCCTTCCATTAAATTTTTATGTGGAATTTAATTTAAACGAAGGGGGAACTCAACAAGATTTGTTATTATTGCCCTTTTCAAAATCCAACAAAAATTCGTTTGAAGAACACGCTGAAATTCTTGTGAATGAAGTACTGATACCTGCAGGATTTGAAGTTGTTAGATGGACTAAACTTCCCTATTTTTCTGAGGGAGATTTGGCTAGGGTATTTTTTTAAATTTTTATGGTTATTAAAATACATAGGTTAGGTGACATTTTCAACTGTTTGGTATTTTGATAAGGTTTTCCTCTGACAGACATTTTTAAAAACTTTTCGTTTTTGGGCGTTTTTAAACATTTTCCGTTACTGGACTTCGAATTTTCCCATTATTGGACCTTTCAAAAAGTTTTCCTCTGTTGGGGATTTTGAGGAAATTCTTTGTAATTTAATTTTATGGTGATCCCAGACAAACAGAATTGTTCTTCCATTAAATAAATTTAATTTAAACGAAGGAGGAAATTGGCCACAGAGTGGATTTCCTTTTCCTATTTGAAATTTTATAGGTTCTAAAAATTTTTTATTTTTTTAAAAGTCTTATTACAAATTGGATGATGCCGTTTTTCTTCTTAAAGCAGTAAACCCCGACAAAATTTAGAAGAAATTAATTTGTTTTCTGTTAAATAACCAAAAACACATATCGATGCCTTTGTGGTTTTTTCACTTTTTTAATATTTTAATAAATTAAAAACAAAAAATTTTGAAAACAAACTTTTTGAAAGAATTTTTGAATTTATATCAACTCTCATCCTCATCTTCAGGTTCATATTCATCATCGCTAGTCTCTTCATCACTTATATCCAAATCGTCCTAAATTTAAATATTTGGTTATAAATTGACGTTTCGAAAGTTTTCCTAAGCTACAAAAAATCTCTTCCCACTAGTCGAGGCATTCTAACCTTTTCAAAGAAAAAATCCGAAATCAGTACTCAGTTACCTACTAGCAAACCTCAAAAATATCGAAAGAGTTCACTTCCTCCTTTTTTAGGGACCAGTAAAACCCAACTTTACCCGAAAAAATTTTTGTTAGGGTCTGAAGCATCCCTCCTTTTTCTGAATATATCTTACAATTAACTAGAGGAATAGACTAATAATTTTTGCATTTCAAGCAGGCTTGCCGAACGAACCGAACGATTTGGTTCCGGATATTTTAAGATTTTCCAAGAACCAACAGCTCTAATTTTGAGGCATTCCCCAGAAAAAAATAATTTTTAAAAGAACCTCAAAAAGAGACTGGTCAATAGCAGCAACTCCTCCCCTTTCCTCATTGTCTTCTTTTACATCTTCTTGTTCAGGCATATTCAAAAATTGTAAATCTGATATTCCCAAGGATTTGTCAGCCAAAAATTGTTGTTTTCCTGTTAAACGATTTCCGGATTGGATTTCCTAAAAATTTAAAATTTTTTTAGAAATTTTTATAAAAATTAAACCTTGGTTTCCTGCCCTTTTTTCACTCTCATTTCTTCCAAAAATGCTTCTTGCCATTTATTAAAGGATTCAACTGTTACACGAGTTCCTTAGGAATTTTTTAAAAATTAATTTAAAAAATTTTTTTGAAATGAAAAAACCATCGAATTTAGCCAAAGCTTCAGTCTCCGCCTTTTCCTGCTCTTCCCTAGCAATATTTGCTAATTCTTCTGAATGGGTCGTACAAGCATTAATTAATAAATCCTGAAAATTAAAGAAAAATGGTTAGAAAATTTTTTCTAGACTAGCAGGGGACCCTATACCCCTCCCAAAAAATTTTTATTTTTAAAAACTAATTTTAAGGGTAGAAAATTTTTTTAGAATTAATTTAAAAATTTTAACCACCAAAAGGGTTCGAACCTTATACCCCCATCAGGCAGAGGCTAATAGACTAACCACTAAACTACAGACCCATACCCCCCCCCCCCCAATTTTTTTGAATTTTTAAAAATTAAGTCTTTTAGGTAAAAACATTTTTAAGTAATTAAAAAAATTTCGACAACAACAGTGCTCGAACCCCAGTCCCTGGACCGTCATAGACCAACACACTAACCAGTAGGCCACAAAAACATTTGTCAGGATTTTTTTAAAAATCAACCTATAATCCCCCCAAAAATTAAATAATAATCAACCTGAAATACATTAATTAACGTAAACAGCATTGGCTCCCCCAAATTTTCTTCTATAATTTTTTCCAAATCTCTTCCAACTTTAGTTATTAATAATTTAATTTTTTCATTTTCCTCAATTTCATTTTCATCCTCATCTTTTGGGGGTGTTAATTCTGTCAAATCAATTTTGGGGCCTTTCTTTATTGGATATAAGTCTGGAAGGGAGGCAGTAAATGTGACCATTTCGCGTCCAAATAAGTCGGTAAATTCTGACTAGAAAAAGGAAAAAATTAGAAAAAAAGATTTTTTGGCCAGTTTTCAGTCTAAAAAAATTTTTTTAGGTTTCAGAAAATTTCAAAGAAAATTTTTTTTCAGAAAGTTTCAAAAAAAAAATTTAAAAAATCAAAAGGGGGGTTTAAATGAGCTGAAACCCACCAAAAAATAAAATTTAATCAAGAAAAAACTTTCCTACCCCTACAGGACTCGAACCCTACACCCCAAAAAGTACGGGCTCAACATCAACCGACTACACCACACAATTAAAAAGCTAGATTAAAAAAACTAAATTAAAAAAAACCTTACAGAATCAATACAAAGTTCCACATGAATTTTAATATTGGGATAATCACGGCATAAAATTTGAATTTCTGTTGGATACATTGACTGAAAAGGGGAAAAATTTTTGATTTAAAAATTAAATTTTTATTTTTCGATAACCTTTTTAAAAGATTCCCAAAAAATTTGTACAATATTTTCTTAAAAGACCCACAGCTCCCCTAAATTTCTAAAATAATTTTCTTATCAAAATTAAATATTAAAAAATTTTTTTTTAATTTTTTAAATTAACCTCTAATGCTTCCAATTCCTGTAATTGAATTTCCTCGTATTCGCCCATATTCTTAAAAATATCTATGAAGATATTTAACCAATTTTTTCAAATCTAAAAGAGACATTTTTAAATTAAAAATTCAACCAAAAAATATTTAAATTAAATATTTTTAATAATTTAAAAACAAATTTAAAAAATTTTTTTAAACAAATTTATATCCTTTTCTAAAAAATATAAAAATATAAATATTTGAAAAATTTGGCTCTGGTCTATTTTGAGTCCTTTGGGGCTTCTGAATCCTATGAGAATTTATGATCCCCAAAGATTCTTCTGAATCATAAAAAAATTCAGAAGCCCCAAAAGACTCACATGATTCAGTGGGAGGCTTTTGAATTCATTTGACTAATAACTAAGGCTGTGATTTATAGGCAAATGCCTATTTTTTCTGCAAGCTTGGGATGATGTAATAGTTCAAAAAACGTGTTTTTAGCTTGGTCCGAAGAGTCTAGCGTGACTTTTAATTTGCCTATTTCTGCCTATTTTGGACTTTTTGTGCCTTCTTGCCTATTTCGAAATTTTTGGTACTATTTTTGCCTTTTTTTAGCGATTTTTCCTAAATTTTGCCTAAAAACCGGTGAAAAATCTAAAAAACTCAGTCCCAGATTTAAAAAAACAGTGCCGACTCCAATTTTTAATTTATAGTTAGACGAATCGATTATTTTTACTCTGATGGACATTTTGAGATTAAGCGTTTTGGTAGTGGGACATTTTGGGTTTGGACGTTTTGTCGGTTGGGCGAGATTTCCCTTTTGTCATTTATCAATATTTTTTTAAAAATTTACTCATTTTTTGAAAAAAATGAGGCAAAATGCCTAATAAATTGCAAAAAGGTTTAATAAAATAGTTTATCATTCAAAAAATGACGAATAAATGGGTATTTTTTAATTTTAAAGTCTGTTAGCTCATTTTACCTGCCTATTTTTGTGCCTTTTTTGGCTTTTTGGTGCCTATTTTAGGCGCCTATTTCACTAATTTTACTTGCCTAACTATCACAGCCTTACTAATAACCTAGACTATGTAGACCACTATAGACGGGACACGAGATTTTATAAGTTTACGAGATAGAGCTCCACCCCTGCTATAGACTAGAGCCAAAAAATACCCTTTAAAATCTGTTTCTTTTTCATTTTTTCAATTTATCCACAACAAAGCGAAAACTATTTTCAAAATCTTTAGAACCAAATTTTTGTTGTTGTTGTCTTCCTCCCATTTTTCCATCCTTTTTTAATATAATATTATTCCTTTTTTCATTCCCTTTTTCATTATAAGGCGATTTTCTAATTATAGTAGCAGAAGATTTTTTAGAAGATTCTTTTAGTATCATAAGTTGAATACTTTTATTAATTAAATCACCACATTCTACTTGTAATTCACGAACTAAATCTCGATTGGGAAAATAATCCTTTGAAAAAAAAATTAAATTTACAATTAATTTAAGGTTAAAAAATTTTTTTGGTTAAGTGGTTAAAATTTTGGAATTTAAGGGGTAAGGGTTGTGGGTTCGAATCCTTTCGGTGGTAATTTTTTATATTCGAGCCAAAAATTTGCTTAAATGATTTTGAAAGTGATAAAAAATTGTTTATCCTTGGAATAATTTTTAAATGAATTTTTAAAATTAAAAAAATTTTTTTTTGGTCTAGTGTTAAGGTTCTGTATTTCATAAGGTAGAGGGGTGTGGGTTCGAACCCTTTCGGTGGTAAATTTTTATATTCGAGCCAAAGAATATTTTTAAATAATTTATAGTCAATAAAATAATTTTTAAACCAAAAAATAAATTTTTTAAAATTAAAAAACCTCAAATCTATAGCTTAACCACAAATAAGCATAAAGAATATCATATACATCCCCAAGTGTTCGTAGCCTTTCTAAATTGTCTGCAAGTCTCATTTCTCCCATTACCAAATGTTTTATGAATTGTATTGTTATTGCATTTCCTTCAGAATATTTTTTAACAATCATTATATATGCAGTACTTAAGAAAGAAGATCCACTTTCTTTAACAGGGCAAAGACAAAAAGTATAACGATCCTGAAAAAAAAATTTAAATAATTTTTGTGACAAAATGAAATTATTTAAACGACTGACCATTTTGTAATATTCTCAAAAATTACCAAAATGAATAATTTTTAAGTAGTTACCACTTTGACATTTTCAAAATTGTAAAAATAATTTTAAACAAACCCTTAATGACAAAGGTATATGCTCTATTAAAATTGCCATCTCTCTTATTCTAGCATGCGAACACGAAAAATAATCTTCACTGACACTAGAAATTGAAGCAAAAATATCTAATAATTGAGACAAAGAACAATGAGGTAAATGAAGTGAAAATAGCTTTGAAAAAAATTAGAAAAAAATATCTTTCAAAAAAAACCTCTATAGCTTCAAACGATGGAGATATACCTGCTTGTGCAATAGGTTGAATTGGTTCATTCATTAAACGTCCTAAAAGGCGGGAATCTTCGTCCAAGAGTGTCATTACCTTTAAAAAATAGAGAAGAAATTACGATTAAATGGGCCAAAAAATCTTAAAAAATTTTTAAAAATTTTCTTTTCGTAAAAAAAATTTTTTAAAATAATTTTTAAACAAAAGAAAAAAATTATATTTTGTGGCTAAGTGGTTTGTGTTGATGTCGGGGTCGTTTAGTATATGAAGGTTCGAACCCTCTTGCGGTCGAAAATTTTTTTAAATTTTTATATAAAGAAAAAATAAATAAAATTCGATTAAGCTAAAATTTTCAATTTCTGTGGTTAATATGTTTATGTTTATTGACTGGGTGCCAAACACATGAAGGTTCGAACCCCTTTGCTGCCCTATGGTTAGGTGATTCTGACAACCAATAAATTTTACAAAATAGCTAAGGAGGGCGTCTTTAAAAATTAAAAAATAAATTTAAAAACAAACCTCCCCTTTACAATATCTAGAGGCAAAACGTCCAGCCCTTCCAGCTATTTGTTTAACAAAAAAAGTTGGAAAAATTTGCCCGTCTTTCATTAATGTTGTAAAAATAACTCTTATAAATAATTAAAAAATAAAATTAAAATTTAATTAAAAAAACCTTTTAATATTTAAATTAATTCCCATTCCAATAGCATCTGTTGCCAATAAAATTTTACATGGATTCTTAAAAAAAATTTTTTTTAAGAAATATATTTTTTTCAAAAAAATATTTGGGACATTTTGGACTAGAGCCTATATTCAAAGAACCCCGGGAACCCAAAAAGAGATATTACCTAATAAGTCAACAAGGTTTTTTCCAAAAATTTTTCAAAAAAAATTTTTTTGGGAATCCTTCAGTTATCTCTCCCTCCATTTTTTCCCTTCCCCCTAATCGAAAGACATACTAATTTTTAATTCCTCACAAAAACAAATTCTAATGATTGATTTCTAAAAATAAGCTAAAATAAATTAAAGAAAAATTCCACACAAGAAGCTCTCCCATCAAACTAGTGCCAAAAATACTTAATATTCTACTTATATGCCTATATTCAAAGAACCCCGGGAACTCAAAAAAGAGAAATTACCCATTTCCCCCACGAAAATATTTTACCCCAAAAAAATTTAAAATAAAAAAAACCTCAGGATCATTAAACTTCTCAATTTGTTCCCTTTTTGTTTCAGGCGGCAAATCACCAAAAATAATAGCTGATTCTTTGCCATATTCATGTAAAAGAGTTCTAGCAGTTTTTAAAATTGATTGTTTGTTAAAATGAATAATGCAATCCCCATCCTTTAAAAAAAATTTTTTTTCCTTCTCAAAAATTAAAAAAAAACCTCCACAGCATTCAAATCCCTCAATCCATGTGTATCTATCACAACCAATTCACCTTTCCTTTCATATTTTCTAATATCAACATGTTCACCAATTGGATCTAATAATTTTAATACAAGGTCTATTGCTGCCTCTTCGCCACATAAATGAACCTGAAAAAATTTTTTTCTTGGGAAAAGTGGCATTTAGGGATTTTAACTAAAAACCGGCGTGGGAAGGGATCCCAACAGGATTTTCCGGGATCCGATCCCGAAAAAAATTTTTTTTTGATTTTCGAGATTGATTTCTGAATTTTTCGGGATTTATCCCTACGGATCCCATCCTGACATCGGTTAAAAAATCCCGACTCGTGATCCCAAAAGAACGATTTTGCCGGTCTCAATTATAACATTTTTATGGATGCCTTTTTTAAGAGAAAATCCGCAAATTTTTTGCGGATCAGAATTTTTGTCCGCAAAATTTGAAATTTTTTGACATTTTGACATATTTACCTTCTTGTAAAAATTTTTGAAAAAATTTTATTTTAACCTCATCAGCAGCAACCCCAAGTAAAGCCCTAGTCCAAGCTGTTCCACGTTCAACATCCCTCAACATTTGTATTTCATCTATCACACAAATATCCCTTCTATCATCTATTGGCACCATCTCTGCCGTATAGGTACAATGGGCAGCTGGAGTTTCAGAATCATGAGCAAATAGGCGTTGTTCTCCAGTGACCATATCACAAGGAATACCTTTTTAAAATGAAATTTATTGCTGACTTTCTTTTGTCTGCAACATTTTTGCGGACATTTTTTGTCCGCAAATAAATTTTTGCGGCCTATCTTTTGTCAGCAAAAATTTTTTGCGGACATTTTCTGTCCGCGAGCCATTTGCGGATAAAATTTACAGCTTATTAGAAGAAAGAACAAAAAATAGAGAAAATACCCAAATAAGGAAAGGCAATTAATTAGAAATCCCAAATAATTGATCAAAAAAATAAAGATTTTCTTACCATCTTTATTAATTCGTTCATAAATTTCAAAGGCTAATAACCGCAACGGTCCACAATACATTCCAGATTTCGCCTTTTTAAACTCTTCCAAAGCTTCGTAAGTTTTGCCGCTATTTGTGGGGCCTAAAAAATAATTTTTTTTTGAAAAATTGAAAAAATTTTTTGTCCGCAAATGTTTTGCGGACAAACTTTGCGGACTTTTTTTCAATAATTTTCAGAAACCACAAACCTGCATGAAAAATAATTTTTCGATGAATTTCACGAGCTAGAGGGTACCAATTGTGTGGATGAGTTAAATCAGAAATTATTCGAAGTTCATTAATTCGTTCCAAATGTGGAAACACTTTGTGAGCATGTCGAAGAAAATAAGGGTAAATTTGGTCGACACTGTGATCTAAAAAAGTAATTTTGAGAGGAAATTTTGGTTGGATTTATGAGTCTTTTTGCTACTAATTTGAGACTTAAACGATATGTTGTGGACGTTGGGTTCAGGCTTATCCCAAGCTAGCCAACGTCCTCAACAAGGATTTTAAGAGTCTGGTGCTCTTATCGGCCTAGTTTCTTATAAAAAACAAAAACGTGTTCGTCGGGCTCCGGCTTCATCCTAGCCAGACAACGTCCACAACACGATAACAACTCTCTAGTATATAGTTTGTCCGCAAATTTTTTGCGGATGTCCGCAAAACTCTCTGTTTGTGTCCGCTCTCTGATTTGGCTCAATAATTCCTTCCTAAATCAGGGCAATTTTGGTCCAGATAGGCGCGTTTCAGGGGAGGGGGGTTACCCGAAACATGAGAGCCCAAAGTCACTTTTCGATACCCAATCCGAAATCCAATCCAACCCATCCCCGTTCCCAAAAAATAAAAAAAAGAAATAAACAAACCATATTTAATAATATCACTAAAAATCACTTGAAGACGAGGATCCAAACTTGTTTGACCCAAACAACAAGCCATTCTTAAATTTTTCAAAAAATTTTTTTCTTATAAAAATCCAAAAAAAACCTAAAGCTTTGAAAAGCCTTTTGAAAAATATTTTTGGTTATATTTTGTGTTGCAGCCAAATCCCTAATGTTGACATCTCTTGCAAATCGATCAAGAATTGAGGATATAACTTGACGAGAAAGTGAAGATTGGACACCTTCTAGCTTCAAAAAAGTTATGTAAAATGAAAAAATTTTGCGGACATTATATGCGGACACTTTTTGCGGACAATTTTTTACGGGCATTTTTTGCGGACAATTTTCTGCGGACATTTCTCGCTAACGGACTTTTTCTTCACAATCTTCCCTCATTTAACCAAATAATCAATAACAAGAAAATAAATAGAGAAGAATATGATAGAAGCTCTCCATTAAGAATCCGCAAAAAATGTCTGCAAGAATTCAAACTCTTCACAATGAATTGTAAACTGAAGCTAGTCTTTGGTTTTTAAAGTTTTATTTAAAAAAAGCTTGCATAATTTCGCTTCCCATTTCCTTATAAATTGATTATAGGAGAAAGAAGGGAAAATGGAAAGCAAAAATCCGCAAGAAGATAAATCCGCAAAAAATGTCCGCAAGAAAATTTGTCCGCAAATTTCAAGAAATATTTAAATAAAAACCTCAATATTAACGTGTTTTTCAAGCGGAACCTTTTGAGGTTGTACCACTTCATCTAGCGCCAAAACATCAATTTTAGCAAATCTGTTGGCAAATCCAGCGCGTTTTTTAGCCTAAATTTTTTTTAAAAATAATTTTTAAAGAACAAAAACAAACAAATCTGTTCTGTCGTAGCCTTGTAGAAAATCTTCTGAAGAAAACATTTTGAATTTGAACTGAATTTTGAAGGAAAATTTGGGTAAGATGAAGATTTTGAATGATCGGCGACATCTAAATTGAGTTAAAAATGATTAATTTTTGAAAGAATCATTGTTAAAAATGAGGAAAGAATCGTTTAAATAATCTTAAAAAAATCGAGGGAATCATTTAGCCTTGATTGCTTAGAAAAATGAAAAAATACTAGGAAATTACCAAAAATATTTTCAGATTTTTTGTGAACAAAAATCTAGGAGTTGAAAGACCTCTTAAATCTTATAAATAAAAGTTTAAAAACCTTTCAGAAGTTCAAGCAATCGTCGTTCCAAATCTGGTCCTTGATTTAAAAAATAATAGAGAATCCAACAAAGAGTAGTTGAAAAGCGTCTCTTAATTATCCCAAAATGTAAGCTTAAACAAGTTCTAGAAAAGTTTAAAAAAAATATAAAATGTTTCGTTAAAACAAAATTTCCATAAAAACAAATTTTGATTAACAATTTATTTAAAAACCTCAAAATTAACAATTTATTTTTAAATCAACAACTTTTATCCAAAATTTATGCTTCGACATCCCAAGTAACGGTGCGCGTGTTTCTGGGAAAGCATTCTTTGTAGTAGTCCACATAGTCGTCTAATAAGCTCGATATGCCTTAAATTGAAAGTTTAAGTCATGAAACAAAAATTAAATAAATTAAACCTTTAAGAAAAGTCCGCAGTGCAGTAAGAATTTCCACACTCTTATCCACACCAACAAACATCGCAAAATCATCATAAAAAGCCTCGAAATCATCATAAAAAGTTTCTTTTAAAAAGACACTGACAACTTTGAATTGCGCCTTAGCAAAGTCTCGCCACTAAAATTAACAATTATTACCACTTTTTTTTGAAAATTATTAAATAAAATACCTCTTTAATTTCAATCAAGCGATGTTGATTACGCTGAGGAAGAGTAGGCAATTTCTAAAAATAGAAATTTGGATTGAATAATTATTTTAATTACTTCTTTAATCTTTTTAAAAATAACAAAATCCTTAAGGAAATCACGAGTCTGACGATAAACACCTAAAAATTATTTAGAGAATTCAAGGGCATAGCCAAAGGGTGGGCTTCTGGGGCTATTGCCCCTCTGAAACGGGAAAAATGAAAAAATTTTAGGAGGGAAATGATCAGAAGTGAATTTTTTTGACCTACGGCGATTCTCAAAATTTTCGCCTGCGGCGCTGAAAAAATAAAAATATATGTAAAAAGGATTTGCGTACGGAACGCCAAAAGTTTGACGCACCCCATATTTTAGCCCCCTGAAATCGACCTCCTGGCTACGCCTTTGAGAGAATTATTAAAGAATTAAAAGTTTAATTTAAAACGATCTTAATAAATTCATACACTCATAAGAAGAGGAAAGTTTGCTGACATAATCCTTGCCGATACCATCTTCGATATTCTCCAGAAATGTAAATTGTTGACCAATTTTCTTCCAAGTATTATCAATTTGCTTTCGCAACTGAAAAATGGGAATTTATTAAAAATTGAAGACGTTAAAAATGAACTCAAAAACTCACAATATTCAATGAAACTATGAATTTTTTTTGTATTTTAATGACAAAAATGTCAAATATTTTCGATACTCGACATTTTCCCCATTTTCGATGTAAACGGATAAAAGTCGTTATTTCACCTATTAATTCTGTTGGTAAATTTATTTTTCCAATTTCCATTATTTAAAGTTTTGGAGGGGTTTAGGGGCTAATTCTTCAGAAAAAAGGCAAGTTCCCAACTTTTTACCCGTTGTCCAAAAAGCAAGTGGTCCGTCTATTGTAGTATGTCGCGACTAAATGGACACTCTGCTACTAAAACTAAGATCAACTTAACTACAATTCACTGTAAAATTGTCATAACGTTTTATTTACCTCCAAAACTTTGAATATTGAAAATTAGAAAAATAAATTTATCAACAGAATAGGTGAAACAGCCATTTTTGTTTACATCAAAAATGGCGCCGATTCCAAATCTAAAACAGATTCTGAACAACTTGCTTAGTTCTCAAAACGTGGGCGCAAGGACCAGGCTCAGAATGACGGTCATCTAAAAGAGCTTGTTTTCCGGAAATTTTGGACAGCTATATCGATTATTTGCTGTTAGTCAAGATGGTGATCACACAATCAGCCCGTGATGATTATAAGCATCAATCTTTTCAATTTAAGGGTACCCCAAAAACTAAATATGTAAGTTGCTCAAAATGTGCTTTCGAAATCAGCGAGTTTTGTTACCTAAAGGAGCTATTTTTAGCAAAAAATCTGCCCTAGAGGTGTGCAGGATTTTCAGAAATTAAGAGGAGTCAAATCTCTGAGAAAACTGACATCTCTTCGAAGCGACTTTAATAAAGATCCGCACTGTTAAGGAGATTAAGAAGTCAACGTATAACTGACAATAAGTCAACGTATAGCCCAGGAACTTTAGGAGAACACCGAGAGATCCGAAGGAATTTTCCTGGGAAACAAAAAAGTGCTTTAGGTTCTGAAGATCATTTTTTATCCCCCAGGCAGTAAAGAATAGCTCGAAAGATACCCGCAGATAAGATAGAGATGTTGGAAGAATAACCTTCTCCTATACGTCTTTAAGGGTAATCCCCGATGTACCGCGAGCCAAAAGTACCGCCCGAGCTATAACTCTGTTCAAAATTGTTAAATCCGTGGCGCGCTGGTATGGTTAGATGCGGCTCGACCAGCCTAATCGAACAATCCCAGGGCGCCACGGATTCGCCAATTTTGAACAAAGTTATAGCTCGGCGATACATCGGGCTCGCGGTACACTGGCCTTCTCCTATACAACAGAGTCTTTAACAGGTTGCGCTCTGAAGGGATGTCAATCTTCTAAAGGAGGCATTTTCCCTATGGCACTAACTAACCCCACTTAAATAATTGTAAAGTTAAAACCTCTTCCTCCTTTTCTTTCTTCTCCTTCTCTTTTTTTTCCTCAGCAGTCAACTCAACAACTTCCTCAGTGGCAACTTCTCCCTCATCCATGGCTTGAGGTTCTTGTGAGTGTGATTGTTCAGAGTGTTTCTCATCCATTATTTTTAATTTTATTTTTGTTTAAATAAAAGACAGCTGAAATAATTATTTTATAGTTTACATAAAAGCACGAATGAATATAAAAAAGGGGGGTAAAGTTTATAGCTGGGGGCTTCTTGAAGATTAGGGTTGACGTTTTCGAGTCGAGCCGACGATCGAGTCATTGTTTTCGGGCCTCATTTTTATCGAGTCGGGTCGGCAAAATATCTTAGGCCCGACTCGATCTTTCGGTCCGAGTCGGTCCATTTTGGCAACCCTATTAAGGATGTATTCCACCACAATAAAAACAAAGACAGCTTAAATTTCTAGGGTTTCGAGGAGGTTTTTGTTGAATTTTGTTAGAACGACGCTAAGAAATGTAACGAAATACTCTAAAACAAACAGGAAATCGATAAAATCAATAAACAAAACAATTAAGGAAAAATCCAAAAAACGAAAAATAAGAAATGTTAAATAGAAATTTAAATTAACTTCTTTAAAAGCGTTAAATTAATAGTTTGGCATAATGTCTTTTATTTAAACACGCCCAATTAGGCGCGCGCCCATACCGGCGCAGAGCCATAACTTGCTGGAAAATTTCTGGCCCTTATTAATTTTGGTATCAATCTCTTCAGCTCGATGAGAGGAATCGTTTAATACCAAATTTGGTAAGATTCTGAAATTTTGAAGCAAGTTATGGCTCTGCGCCGTTATGGCCGCGCGCCTGTTCTACCCTTACATTTATTCTAACGGTAGTAGAGATCGAGATTCTTAAAAAGCCTGGGTTCCGGTTTTGATTTATTGATCTGGGCCGAATCCTGAGCCTGTAGTCCAGGAAAAACCCAGGAAAGTAAATACCCTTCCGTGACGCCGATTCTGTGACTTCCCAGTTCCGTGACCGTTGTCCCAGTCTGAATTGTCCCAGTCCGAAAAAATGCCTAGGCCTGGACTCTGGGTACAGGAAAAGACCCATCTCGATCTCCAACCCATTTCCTTCTTCTATTTTAATCAATCTAAAATTTTCTCTTATTTTTTAGCTTTGCTCCAACAAAAATTTCTTTTGATTTTTTAAATTAAATTAGTTCTCAATTGTAATTGATGGCACTCAGAGGAACTAACGTATAAACTTTGAATTTCAACTTTATTAATTTTTATTTTTTCAAAGGATTTTGTCATTGCCGATTGCTACAAAATCAAAAGAAAAATTGGGAGTGGATCTTTTGGGGAGATTTTTTCGGCAATTAATTTACAAACTGGAGAGGAAGTTGCTGTAAAAATGGAGCATATTCATGTATTTTTTTGAAATTTTTTGATGAGAGGTTTGTTGGGGATTTGTTTGGGGGTAGGCGTTAATAGGGGAAAGTAGCCTTCCTCTCGGATACTTGGAAGAGGAGGAGGAGCTAGAGAAGGACGTCCTTTCCGTGAACATTCCCTAACCTCCGTGAATACTCCACTCGTTCCTACAGGCATCCATCTCTCACAATCTCCTGAGCCCAGCAAACCAAACGGCCCAGTAAACCATTCCTAAACTTAAAGGGAAGTACCCTCGCTTTGATATTTAAAAGATAATGTTCGGTTGAACAGCTAGAGAAGGACGTCCTTTCCGTGAACATCCCCTAACCTCCGTTAACTTTCTGTGGGCACCCCCTACGTTCCCGCGGGCATCCTCTCATCTCACTCTCTTCCTGAGCCCCTTTCTGTGAACACCCCCTACCTTCCGTTAACACTTCACTCGTTCCCGCAGGCATCCTCTTCTCTCACAATCTTCCTGAGCTTTTGAGCACAGCAAACCAAACAGCCCAGTAGAACCATTCCTTAACTTATTCCCTCGACACAGCTCGATGAACTACTTCGAATCATACCGAATTTGATTAAACTTGGGGCCGAATTCTCAAGCTCGTCCGAAAACTTCTCTACTGTTTTGAGGGCGGAGCACCAGGGGAGAGGGGGATGACATCTTATCCAATAACTCTTTGCTTTTCCCTTAAAATAAGGTGGCTGGCTAGCGCTTACTCTACCACATTCACCAATTCTTATTTCTCCCTATTGGGTGTATGAAGAAATCCTTTTAGTGTGGGGTTTTGGGGCAATTAGTCGTTCAAATGCGAATTTTTAGTCGAGTGACAGTTTATCCCACTTGGACTATTTTAATGAAACACGCAAGTTTTCTTCTTAAGTTTCCTCTCCCTAGAAGGGCAATCTTCTACCCCTTTAATTAAAAAATTAATTATTTTCTTTATAGGCAAGACACCAACAACTTGTATATGAAAGCAAGGTTTATTCCCTTCTTTCTGCTGGTGTTGGAATTCCTCGCGTACAGTATTCGGGGGTTGAAAATAATTATAATTGCATTGTGATGGATTTGTTGGGTCATTCTTTGGAGGATTTGTTCAACATTTGTCAGCGACGTTTTTCTTTGAAGGTTTTATTTTTTGAAAAAAAACAATTAATTGGGGGGGGGGGGAGGCAATTGGTCGTTCAAATACGAATTTTTGGTCGAGATGACTTATCCCACTTGGAGTATTTTAATGAAGCAATGCCTTCAGGGAGGGATTTTGGGGCTATTAATCGTTTAAATGTGAGTTTTTAGCCGAGGTGACATTTTATCCCACTTTGATGATTTTAATGAAGCAATGCCTTCAGGGAGGGGTTTTGGGGGCAATTAGTTGTTCAAATGTGAATTTTAAGTTGAGGTGACATTTTATCCCACTTGGATTATTTTAATGAAGCAATGCTTTTAGGGAATCCAAAATTGAAAACCTGGACTTCTTTCGGGACGAATCACGAAACCTGGCTTTTTCTCTCCCCTAAAACCTCCAATTATTTGTTTTTAAATTAATTTAATAAAAAAATTTAAATTTTAGACAGTTCTTATGCTTGCCGAACAGATGATTACGCGTATTGAATTTATGCACAATAATTTTTTTATTCATCGGGTATTTTTTTTAGTTATTCACGGGAGGGAGATGTCTCAAATTTCACGACTTTCGGGGACGGACACAACCCTAATATGTATCCAAAACTTCTATTACTCGAAACCTTATCTGAGGAAATTTTGGAAACCAGATTCGAAGCCCACTCCTTGTTTATTTTTTAATTTAAACCAGTAAAATTGGCCGGATTTTTTGAAAATTCTTTTTGGGTTCAGAAAAAATTAGTTTCCCAGGATCTACCACCCACCAATAATTTTCAAAAAATCCGGGCATTTTTACTGGGTTAAATTAGGGATATGACAATCTGAGAGAAAACACGGAATGGACTTTGTTTCTCCTCTCAACACCTTTATTTAAAAAAAAATAATTTTTAAAGGATATATATAAAACCAGACAATTTTCTTATGGGTCCAGTTTTATTCCTGATATACACCAGGGAAAATGTCCTAAATTTTTGGAAATTTTTTTATGTTAGAAAAAGGCACGCGGACATATCGGGACGGACATATCGGGATATTTCAATGTACGAACAGTTACCCTACTAATTTCGGGGGACCTAAGGCTACTGTGTCTTGGATAGTATATTGTCCTATTGAGGGCAAGAAATTATTTTTGTCACATCAATTTCGATATGTTTGTCCCGATATGTCCGTAACCCAGAAAAAGTTTTTTTTTCTCCCAGGAGTCTACTAACCAGGGTTGCCGCCCGAAACCCGGCCTTTTTTTGTACCCGATACCCGAATTGAAAATTTTCCAACCCGAAACCCGTGACCCGAAGATTTTTTGTACCCGCGGCAACCCTGCTACTAACCACCCTTTAAATTACTCGTTTCTCAACACCTTTTTTTAAATTATTTTTTAAAGGATATAAAACCAGACAATTTTCTTATGGGTCTCGGAATGTATTCAACAACTGTGTTTATGATTGATTTTGGATTAGCCAAACGTTTCAAAAATCCTCGAACAAAAGTACACATTCCCTATAGAGACAAAAAATCGTTGACTGGAACAGCTCGTTATGCTTCTATAAATGCTCATAAAGGCATTGAATTGTCTCGTCGTGATGATTTGGAATCTTTGGGTTATGTTTTGATGTATTTTAATCGAGGAAGTTTGCCGTTTAGTTTTTTTTTAATTTTTAAAAATTTTAAGATGGGAAGGGTGGTTAAGAGATTTTAAGGCTTCTTTATTTTTAATTTTTTGTGAGGGAGAGAGAGCAGTTTTGTGGTTGATTTTAGAGATTTTTAAAAGCATTTTTTAATTTTTAAGGGAAGTTTGAGAGATTTTTTAAATTTTTTGGGGGGATTTTTTTGGAAGGGAGTGGACTACCTAAAGAATGTTTTTTGGTAATTCTTTTTTCCTTTCCTTATTTTTATTTTTTTTAAAATTTTTTGGGGGATAGGAGGGTTTTGTGGTTAATTTTAAAGATTTTTAGGCATTTTTTATTTTTCGAAGGGGAGTTTGGGTGATTTTTTTTTATTATTTTTGGAGTCTTTCGAAAGGGTTTTGGAAGGTCTACTATCTAAAGAATGTGTTGTTTTCTGTAATTTTTTTTCCATTCCTTTCCTTATTTTTTGATTATATAGAGGGGAAATATTTAAATTTCTCTCACTCCGCCTTTATTTATTTTATTTTTCTTTTTTAAAGTTGGCAAGGTTTGGTAGCTAACAATACAAAGCAAAAATATGAGAGAATTAGTGAAAAGGTTTTTTAAAATTTTTTAAATTATATTTTTCCTTTATGCCCCCAAAAGTCCGAAAATTTAGTCCGCAAACTAGTAAAAACTTCTTTTAAAAAACGTTGCTTCATTGGTCTGGCGGGTTATGTAACAAAAATTGAGGGGTCTCGGGTTCGAATCCGTTTGTCGATAAATGATTTATTTTTGCTTTATAAATGTTCAAATTTGTAAAATAAACAAATATAGTGAATTTATGGGCTTGCAGAATTTTTTTATGCGGACAAAAAAATTTTGCGGACAAATATTTGCGGACAAAAAATTTTTTGCGGACAAAAATTTGCGGACTTTTGGGGTTTACAAAAATTTTTCTTTTTTATTAAAAAGTTTTTCTTTTAAAGAAAATGTCAACTTCAATTGAAAATTTGTGTCGTGGATATCCCGAAGAATTCAAAATGTACTTAACATATTGCCGTCAATTAGGTTTTGAACAAGATCCAGATTATAATCACTTGCGTAAGCCGTTTCAGAGGCTCTGTTTTTCTTGTAAATATGAGGTTTTTATTTATTTATTTTTGGGAAGGGGATTAGTATTTGGCTTTTTTTTTAATTTTTGGGAAAAAATTTTCGAAGTATCATAAATTTTTTGTAAATTTTTCAAAAATTCTGAAAAATTTTTTGAGGGGTCGAAAATTTTTTTTTGAAATTTTTCAAAAAATTTGTAAAATTTTTTTTGGGAGGGGTATTAGTACTGGGCTTTTTTTTTAATTTTTGAAAAAATTTTTCCAAAATACTTTATGTCAAAATGGAAAAATTTTTTTGAATTTTTTTTTTGGCGCTTCCGATTTTTTTACATTTTGATATTTTTTCTATTTTAACATCCAAAAAAAATTTTAAGAATTTTTTAAAAATATTTTCAATTACCAAAAATGTCAAAAAAATTTTTGTCCAAACGTTTTTTCAAAAAAAAAATTTTGAAAATTTTTTAGCTAAAAATTTTTTAAAATTTGGGGGGGGGGGGGGGGGGTCGAAAATTTTTTTTTCGAAATTTTTCAAAAAAATTTTTTTTTTTTAATTTTCAAGTATGACTGGATGTTCGATTGGATAGTTCAAAAACAACAACGTCAATGTGTAAATTCTATTGGATCAATGACAAATGTTGGACCTAGTAACTCACAGCCAAAGCTTGTTTCGCGTGTTTATCATCGCTGAATTTTAAATTAAAAAAAATTTTTTTTTCTCTCGTTTGGGTTTGTTCTTCTCCACAAATATATAAATAATTTTAAGAAAATGTTTATTTTTTTCTGTTTACTCTCATTGATTATAATTTCGTGCCTCTCTACCTACCTCTCTCTCATGCATTGTTTTTCTTTGAAAAAAATTTTTTGGGGGTTCGAATTGAAAATTTATTTTTTTCGAAAATTTTTTGGAAAATTTTTTGAAAATTCCAAAAAAATTTTTTTTGAAAAAAAATTTTTTTTTTAAATCCTAAAAATGTCAAAATGTTTAAAAAAAAATCACAAAAATTCGAACTTCTCTAACCTCTAGATTTAGATATCCCCCCCCCCTATTCCCTCACCCACCAAGGCCGTAGCCAAGGCAGGGAACGCCAAGGTAAACGCCAAAATTTTGGCGCACACCCAATGTTAGCCCTTTGAAATAGATCCCCCAATAGAAGCCCCCCTGAAATAGATTTCCTGGCTACGCCCTTGTCACCCACCCCTCCCCTCATTTTCTCTCTCAATTCTCACTTAATCTTGTCATAAAAATAAAAAATGATATTATAAAAGCATATTTAAAAATATTCTAATATATAAATAATAATAATAAATTTAATTAATTTCCTTCACATTATTTATTTTTCTTTAAGAAAATAAATTTTTTGTTAATTAAAAAAAATTTTTTTTCTGTTACAAAATTTCCTATTTAAAAAAGAAGAAAATTATGGGACACGCCGGCGCGCGCCCATAACGGCGCAGAGCCATAACTTGCTGGAAAATTTTTGGCCCTTATCAATTTTGGTACCAAACTCTTTAGCTCGATGAGAGGAGTCGTTTAATACCAAATTTGGTAAGATTCGAAAATTTTGAAGCAAGTTATGGCTAGGCGCCGTTTTTGGCGCGCGCCGGGATGTACCTTGAAAATCCTCAAAAAAATTTTTTTGTTTATCTCGCAAGAATTCACCAAGGAGGTCTACCTCCAGCAGCAGTATGCCAATAACGATTAGAAGGTATAGGGCCTACTCCGCCCCAATATCCACCTCCAATAAATTTATTTGGCCCAATCCAACTTCCTCTAATAAACATGGGAAATGGCCAGATGTTGGTGGTTGTTACGGGTGTTTTTAGTTTGCCGGAAGGGGGAGGCTTTGTTTTCTGTTGGAATAAAATTGAAAAAATTAGAAATTTAAATTATTTACAAACGCCAATATTTCTATAAAAATTTCAAAATGTCAAAAAGCCACAAAAATGTCAAAATGGTCAGAACGTCAGAAAATGTAAAAATGGTCAGAAGGCCAAAAAATGACAAAATGGTCAGAACGCCAAAAAACGTCAAAATGGTCAGAAAGCCAAAAAATGTCAAAATGTCACCTATCTAGAAAAATGTCAAAATGTCAACTAATGGAAAATATACAAAGATGTCCAGGGTTACTTACATTTTTAGTATCAGTTTCCCTCTCATGAACTTCTCTATCTCCTGCCATACTTCCTTCAAAAAAATCAGAAGCCGCTAAATGACTCGGAGTCGTGCCCGTTAGAGTTGTATGTATTCGAAGCCGGTTGCCTCTCTGGGTGAGGATTGAACGCAATTGGTTGTCATTATTCAGAAAAATCTTTAAAAATTCAAAATAAAAATAGCTCGGAATCTACAATGGTTTGGGGTAAGTGAGAGATAGGATAGGAAAGGATCGAGAGTTATCGTTCAGAAATCTTGCTCTAAGAGGTTGGAAAGTGGACTGAAACAGGGGGCTAACTTAGAGAATCGATCCATCCATATGTCCAGTTTTCTATAGGTTACCCCTCTATTTTGTGTACCTTCTCTATAGTAGACTGTACCAGTGTTAGGTATTGGGCATTTGTTGGTTCCAAGCCCCGGGCTTAGGAGCCATACCCAGCACTGGCTGTACTATCTCTCTACAGTCTCTCTCTAGTGATATAACGCCCAAGGATACCTTCAATTTAAGTTACACTCAGTATAAGGTAAAATACAGACAGGCCTCTTTATAAGATACCCCCAATATAAGAGACACCTCTATTTAAGAGACACCCCAATAACCTTTATCCCAATACCCTTTCACACATCAAATCCTCTGTATAGCCTTATAAAGGAAGTTGTTTATAAAGAGGTTTTCGTTATAATCCAAAAAACCTCATGTCCAAATTCATCCTCACAGGCCAACAGCCCTCTAAATTCAGGCAGAACTTCTCTAGCCTTTCCATACAAAATTTCAACTAAATCGTTTCCGGGCAACATGTCATTCTGATTAAGATAAATATGGAATTTATTTCCAAAGTGATCCCAAGTAATTTTATTTTCCATTCTTTTAGAATGCTAAAAAATTATTTAAATGTATGGACACCAATACCTCCGATATAAGAGACACCTCTATTTAAGAGACGATAAATTGGTTAGCTACTGGGGGAAATCGCCCAAGGAACCCTCCATGTAAGAGACACTCGTTATAAGGTAAAAGGCAGACAGGCCTCCCTATAAGACACCCCCAATATAAGAGACACCTCTATATAAGAGACGATTTTAAAAATTGGTTAGTTAACGGATAGGGGAGTTGGGGGTCAAGGGGAATTAGGGGGGGGGGGGTCAGGGGGAATTTGGGGGAAGGGTGGCGGTCAAGGGAAAAGCCAAAATTGGCAATAGGTTATCGACATGCTTTATACGATGGTAAAAAATATTTTTAAAAAATTTTTGGAGGATAAAAGAAAAAAATATAAACTAAAATAAATAGAAAAAAATTATACACATATTTTTATTTTTTGTTTGTTTATCCTCCACGTAAACCCCTCTGCAGATTTTTTTGACTCAACGAGAGCTGTATATATTCCCCCTGCTACTTTGAAAGTTTGTTTAACTGTTCCCTTTGTATATTTATTTTTTTAAAAAATTCTTGAAAAAATTTATATAATAAAATTCTGTAAAGATGACTAAAAATATGACTTTAAAGATGACTAAAAATAGCTGACATTTTGTTGACAATAGTCGACATTTTGAAATTTTTTGGTTAATACAATAGACACTCCAAGGCAATCCACTCTTGATTCCTAATAGATCAAGAGGCCCTAATTAGTATGCTTTGGAGGGTTGGGGTCGTTTTGGCGCCGGGCCGTTTTGGCGCAAGAGCAAAAAAGTGGCACTTAGGCGAGACCTAAATTTATAAAATTTTTCTCAAATTTCTTTAACATCCTTGACTACCTCTTCCAGAAATTTCAGAATATTTTTTCCAATATTTCCGAAGTTATAGTCGATAGACCTCGAAAAATTAGGCATTTTGCAGAAAATCAACATTCTTGGCCACAACTTCTGAAATTCTTGATCAAAAATTCTGAAATTTTTGGAGAACCTAGATAAAGGCACGAGAGTTATTATTGCAAAATTTTATCATTTTTGATAAGCAACTCGCTATCTTATAAGCTCGCGCCAAAACGGCCCCGCGCCAAAACGGCCCAGTCCCTGCTTTGGACTGAGTGAGGGTGATATAACTAGGGTGAGGTAACCTTAGAGTGTGATACCTTGGAGTGGTCTAACTAAGAGAGTGGGGGTATAAGTGTTGGATTTACGAGGTATCAGAATTGGATACCTCGAAGAAGGGGATACCTTGGAGAGGTGATAATTGAAAGTATGGAATAACTGAGGGAAGTGAAATACCTCAGAGAGAGGGATAACTAAGAGAGTCGATGAGAGATGGATACTTTAGTGAATTAATGATAGGGTGTAGAGATCGAACTGGGCCTGGACCAAGGCATGGGTTTTTCCTGTACCGAGAGTCCAGGCCTGGACATTTTTTGACCTCCCTGGATTTTTCCTGGGCCTGGGTTATTCCTGGACTACAAACCCAAAATCCGGCCCAGGTCAATAAACCAAACCCGAACCTAGGCTTCTCAAAAATCTTGATCTCTAATGGGGTGTTAGAAACTAGAAGAGAATTAAAGAGAAAGAAAGAGGATACAATAAGCCTGTCAATGAGTAGAATGAGAGAAAAAAAGTTTTTCGTTTAATAATCAAAATATCTTATTTTTTTCCAGACCGTTGCAACCCACTAACACAATCTTGATAATCTCCACCTATCTTAAACGCTGACTGTGAATATTTGCAGGAAGTTTTTTGACACTCTTCTGTTGGTTTACACTGGGCTTGGGGTGTAATCGAATTTGCACTTCCCTCAATTCCCTTATATTCTTGACACCCAAAGCATATTTGTCCGTCTATTTGAATATTTGAAACTGACATAGAGTCGTGGTAGTTTGTGTTTAGTGCTTAAAGATAAATAGAAGCTTGCTTCAAGTTTTAAATAATTCAAGTTTTGCTTCAAGTTTAATTTATTAATTCAAGTTTTAATTAATTCAAGTTTTATTTATAAATTAAACTTTCCGGAAACTATTAAAACTTGAAATTAATTTAAGTTTTAATAAATTAAGTTTTTTTAAGTTTTGCTTCAAGTTTTAAATAATTCAAGTTTTGTTTCAAAGTTTAATTTATTGGCCAAGTGTTAAGGCAATTCAAGGTTAACTTATAAATAAACTTTCCGGAAATTATTAAAACTTGAACTTAATTCAAGCTTAATTTATTAGTCATAATTAAAGTTTTGCTTCAAGTTTATAAAATTCAAGTTTATTTAATTAATTGACTAAAGTTTCTAGTTTTATTTGCTTCAAGTTTCAATATATTTTAAAGCCTTACAAATAATCGAAAGTCCAGGACCCATAAATTTACTATTTGTTATATTAACACTTCGAGTATGTTGATTGCATTCCATTCCACAAGAACGCCAAACTTTACTAAAATTCTGAGCACAAAAATTAGAAATTATTGTCTGGCCAGCCCCGGCTTGAGTAAAAACCTTTTAATTAATTTATTTAATGAAATTATTTTTTTATTAAACTTTGTCTATAGCATTTGTAACTGCTCCACCTATTATTGTATAAGTTTTTGGGGTTGCGTCTAAACTGTTTCCCAAATCAGCAGCGTGGTAGCAAGTTTTTTCAAAGCTTTAATTAAATGATAAAAATATAATTAAATTAATAAGTTTTACGGAAGTTATTAAAACTTTTCCGGAAAATATTAAAACTTTTCCGGAAAATATTAAAACTTTTCCGGAAAATATTAAAACTCTTCCGGAAAATATTAAAACTTTTCCGGAAAATATTAAAACTTTTCCGGAAAATATTAAAACTTTTCCGGAAAATATTAAAACTTTTCCGGAAAATATTAAAACTTTTCCGGAAAATATTAAAACTTTTCCGGAAAATATTAAAACTTTTCCGGAAAATATTAAAACTTTTCCGGAAAATATTAAAACTTTTCCGGAAAATATTAAAACTTTTCCGGAAAATATTAAAACTTTTCCGGAAAATATTAAAACTTTTCCGGAAAATATTAAAACTTTTCCGGAAAATATTAAAACTTTTCCGGAAAATATTAAAACTTTTCCGGAAAGTATTAAAACTTTTCCGGAAATTATTCCAACTTAAAAATAAACTTACAAAACATTTTCCAATGTACACTTTCCTACACACAAAATTCCTTTCGCCCCATCTCCAATAATTAAATTTTTTACATGACCTCCATCTTCTACCTCAATTAAACTAGGAGCTTTAGCACAAGCATCAACAGAACATTCAGAACGTAATTTGGTTGTTGCTACATAACGAACATAGCCAAAATCTTTTGTTCCGCTAACTGTGCTTAAAAAACAATTTTTAAATTTTGGGGTAAAAATCATTAATTTGCTTCAAGTTTAATTTACATAATTATTTAATTCAAGTTTAATTGCTTCAAGTTTTAATTATTAATATTTTTAAGTTTGTTCAAGTTTATTTATTCTTTTAAGATTATCTTAAGTTTTCAAGTTTTATTTATTTTTAATTCAAGTTCAATCTTATAATTAATTAATATTTATTAAAACTTGTTTCAAGTTTTATTACTAAAATGCTTCAAGTTTTAATTATAATTTTTCAAGTTTATTTATTTAAGTCTGATCTTAAATTTTCTAAGTTTTATTTATTTTTAATTCAAGTTCAATCTTATAATTAATTAATATGTTTCAAGTTTTATTTTAACTGTTCCAAGTTTATTTTAACTTGTTTCAAGTTTTATTTTTATCCTTACATTGTAGTGTCTTGCGGAACAGTTTTTGTTGCTGGAGGAAACTTGCAAAAATCATCTGCTTCACATTTATTAATTAATGAAGCAATAATATAAAAAATAATAAAAATATTAATAAAATATTTTTGAAGCATTTTTATTAATTTTTTAAATTAAAAAAATTTTTTTTAAATAATGAATAAAATAACGCCTCACTATCTATATTTATTACCACCCAAAACTTGCTTCAAGTTTAAATGAAAATTCAAGTTTTAAATTAATATTTAATCAAGTTGGCAATTTTAGAAGCATAAACTACTATGAAAAAATTTTCTATTATTAATTTTGGCAATTTTATAAAATTAAAAATTAAAAAAAAAATAAAATTTAATGAGATTTATTTATTTAGGCTTAAATTTAAATTTTATTTTTTAAATTTTATTAAGGAAAAAATTTTATTTTTTTATTTTTTTAATTTTTATTTAATTTTAGGCAGGAAATATATGCCTCATGTGGTATGAAAAAAATTAATTTTGGAGAATTTAGATGTTAATTTTATTTAAAAATTATTTTTTATACCTGAATTTGAAGCAAAAATAATAAAAATTAAATTTTAAAAAATTAAAATTAAAAATTTTTTTTTTAATTATAATGAAAAGTTCTTTTAATTTTGATCCTTCTATGTGTTTAAAAAATAATTTTGAATTTTATTATACCGTCAAAACGGGATAAATGTCAACTTGGGGTATCCGTCATTTTAAAACAGAATAGATTATTTAAAGTCCGCACATTTCCTCAAGGGCTAGAAAGAACTGAAACAAGGTTGTGTGCCACAAGTTTAATCAAAAATGGCTGACGAGGTTTTCTCCTTCAATATTATCCAGTGGGGAAGTTCAAACTTAAGATTGGCGGATATTGAAAAAGCCAGTTAACATTCTGGATGCCCACAGATTCTTTGAGGAAGAATAAAATAAAACAAAAATTCTGATAAGCATAAACTCGGCTTTATATTGATAAATGAAAAAGAAAGGAGAAGAAAAATAAAAGGGGGGGGGGGTAATTTTTAATAAAAGCAAGAAAGATATGTGGGCGGGACTTATGAGGGGGCAACTACACAAGCACCTATCCATGAGTATTTAAAGTCGAAGAAGTCTCCGAAGACGTCTCGTAGAAGTTGGTAGAAGTCTAAAGATTGTAAGTCTTGGAGGGGGTTTTTTAGAGAAAAATTTTTTTTAGAAGTCTCGTACTCTCTACAAGTCCCAATCATTCCAATATTTTCCCTCCACCACCTCCACCCCTCACACGTCGAAGAAATTTTTTAAATTAAAAATCCACGTTTAAAAAACTCTTTGAATTACTTTAACGCTTTAGAGGCTTATTCCCTCTCCTATAAAACCAGCAAGAAAAAAATTTTTTTAAGCTGAACCGAGGAAAATAAATTAATTATGGAGAGGAGTGAGAGGAAGTAGGGGCGGATGAATAAATAAAAATTTGAAAAATAATTTTGTGAGGTAAGGGAAATTTTTTTGGCAATTGACGCAATTCGTTGTAAAATCTAGTATAGAGAATTTATAGAAAAAATTTTTTGCAAAAATTAAAAAAATTTTTTAAATTGGAGAATTAAGGGAAGGAAGGGACTTTTGAAGCAATTTTAAGAATATCTGTAAGGATATTAAAAAAAATTTTTTTTGAAGGAGAAGGGGGGGAGAGTTCGAAGGAGAGGATGGGGGGGGGGGAGTTTGGAGGAGAGGAGGGGGAGGGGAGGGAAAGTTTGGAGGGGAGGAGGGGAAGGGGGGGAGGGAGAGTGGGGGGGGGAGAGTTTGAAGAAGAGGGGGAGAATTTGGAGGAGAAAGGGGAAAAGTATAGCTAACCGAGTTGAGTAAACCTCTACCTTCAAGTTTTGTCCCAAACGGGTACACCCCAACCTACCGCCGAGGCTATAACTTTGTTCAAAATTGTCGAATCTAGACAACTTGGTATGGTTGGATTCAGCTCGTCGAGGCGTATCGAACCATACTAAGGCTTCCTGGATTCGACAATTTTGAAAGAAGTTATAGCCTCGGCGGTAGGTTGGGCTGCTCCCGTCCCAAACTTTCCTCTCAACTTCGCTTCTTGTCTCTTTTAAAAATAAAAAAAAAATTATAAATTAAATTTTTTCTGTCTCAAGACTATGCAGAATAATTTTTAAGACTATTCTTTATTTATTTTTCAAAAAAAGCTCATGAAAAATTAAAAAAAAAATTTATTGAATTAAATAGCAGGAAATTGAAACAACTAATTAAATAATTTTTTAAAATAAATTTGGGAGGGTTTTTAATTTATATACCTAAATCAACTAAAAATTTTGAGAAATATCATTCAAAAAAAAATTTTTTTTTAATTTCATGTGATTTTAAAAATAATTTTTGATCGTCAAATGAGTGGGTTTAAAAGAGGAGGAGGAATTCCTGTGCTTCACATAATTAAATAAATATTTCTAAAAAGCTTCAAAAAAATTTAAAAAATCCAAAAAATGCTTCCAAAATATTTTATTAATATTTTTATTATTTTTTATATTATTGCTTCATTAATTGAAAAATGTGAAGCAGATTATTTCTGCAAGTTTCCTCCAGCAACAAAAACTGTTCAGCAAGACACTACAATGTAAGGATAAAAATAAAACTTGAAACAAGTTTTGATGTTTAATTATTATAAGATTAAACTTGAAGCAAAAATAAATAAAACTTGAAAACTTAAGATCAGACTTAAAAGAATAAATAAACTTGAATAAACTTGAAAATATTAATAAATAAAACTTGAAGCATTTTAATAATAAAACTTGAAATTAAAACTTTAAGCAATAAGTAAACTTTAAATAAACTTGAAAACTTAAGATCAAACTTAAAAATAAATAAAACTTGAATATTTAAGAATTTAAGATTAGACATATAATAATAAATAAACTTGAACAAACTTGAAAATAATAATTAAAACTTAAAAACTTAAGATCAATCTTAAAATAATAATTTAGCTTTAAATAATCTTTAACAAACTTGAAAACTTTAAACTTGAAAAAATTAAGAGAACACAGAAATATATTAAAACTTGAATCAAATTAATTCTAGAATTTAATCAGACTTAAAATAATTTTTCCAATTTAAGCCCAGTTAAAGGGGTAAAAGATTTTGGCTATGTTCGCCTTGTTGCAACTTCTGCCTTACGTTCAGCTTGCACTATTCCAGGATCAGTTAATGGCAAGAATATAATTGAGGTAGAAGATGGAGGTCATGTAAAAAATGTAATTATTGGAGATCCGGCGAGAGGAATTTGGTGTAAAGGAGGGTGTACATTGGAAAATGTTTTGTAAGTTTATTTTTACGTTAGAATAATTTTCCGGAAATGTTTTAATAATTTCCGGAAAAGTTTTATATTTTCCGGAAAAGTTTTAATATTTTCCGGAAATGTTTTAATAATTTCCGGAAAAGTTTTATTTTTCCGGAAAAGTTTTAATATTTTCCGGAAATGTTTTAATAATTTCCGGAAAAGTTTTATTTTTCCGGAAAAGTTTTATATGGAAAAGTTTTATATATTCCGGAAAAGTTTTACTTTTCCGGAAAAGTTTTATATTTTTCCGGAAAAGTTTTATATTTTTCCGGAAAAGTTTTAATATTTTCCGGAAATGTTTTAATAATTTCCGGAAAAGTTTTATTTTTCCGGAAAAGTTTTATATGGAAAAGTTTTATATATTCCGGAAAAGTTTTACTTTTCCGGAAAAGTTTTATATTTTTCCGGAAAAGTTTTATATTTTTCCGGAAAAGTTTTATATGGAAAAGTTTTATATTTTCCGGAAACTATACTATAAATATTTAATAATTATTTTCCGGAAAGTATTTCCGGAAAGTTTATTTAATTATTTTATTAATTTATTTACTTAAGTTTTGAAAAAATTTGCTATCATGGTGCAGACTTGGGGAATAGCGCGGATCCAACGCCCAAAACCTACAATATAATCGGTGGAGGAGCGCGAAATGCGCCAGATAAGGTAATAAAAATTTACTATAATTTCCAAAATATTAAATTATTTGTTTTAAAGATATTCACTCAAGCTGGCGCTGGCCAAACAACAATTACTGGATTTTGTGCTGAAGGATTTGGCAAGTGTTGGCGTTCTTGTGGAATGGATTGTGTCCAACACCAGAGAAGTATTAAAATGACAAACTGCAAATTTCATGGACCTGGTCTCTCAGTGATATGTAAGTTGACATTTTGAAATTTTTTGGACTAGTTGACATTTTGAAATTTTTTTGGACTAGTTACAAATTCAAAATTTCAGCACTAAACACCAATTTTGGCGACAAAATGTCAATCTCCAACGTATTCGTCGATAATTCAATTTCATTTTTATGCCAAGAATACCGTGGTATACGCGGTATAACCTCAGATTTGCATCCTACAAGCCAATGTAAACCAAACGAAAATTGTGCGAAAACTAGTTGCAACTTTTCACCCAAAGCTATTAAATTAATTTAATATGTATTATAGAGATAAAGGTTAAAAATTAAAATTACTAATTTAAAAGAAATACCCTGGGTGCCTAATTAATCGAAAAAATATTAATTGTAATTTAATTATAATTGTAATTCTATATCTATTATTGTAAGAAGCTTTTTAAGTATATTTCCGGAAAGGGGGTTTACGGAATATTTATTTATTTTATTATTTTCCGGAAAGTTTAAGATTAATATAATGTTTAATTATTTTATTTCCGGAAAGTGTTTTTCCGGAAGATTCTATTCTCTTTCCGGAAATTTTATATTTGTTTTCCGGAAAATAGATTTATTTTATTAGTTTCCGGAAAGGTTAAGGTTAATATGATATTTAATTATTCTATTTCCGGAAAATGTTTTTCCAAGAAAGGGTTTTCCGGAATTATTTAATAAATCAGGAATTTAATTATTATTTTCCGGAAAGTTTTAATTTAATATAATGTTTTGCAATATAATTCAATTTCCGGAATATGTTTTTCAACGAAAATGTTTTCCGGAAAATTATATTCTTTCCGGAAATTTCTATTTGTTTTCCGGAAAATTTATTTAATTATTTTATTATTTTCCGGAAGGGTCTATTTTAATATAATGTTTAGTATTTTTAGTTTATTTCCGGAACGTGTTTTTCCGGAAAGTTTAATTACTTGTTTCATTTGTATAATTAAGCCTTACTAGGTAATTTTAATTAATTAAAAAATACACATTTTCAACTTTATTTTTAAAAATAAATAAAAAAAAAATTTTTAAAAGTATTTTTGGGGCTAATGAATAAATTGGGAAAATAAAGAAGAGTCTCTCATATTTTATTAAAAAATTTTTTTTTAATTTTAAGTGTTAAAGTATCCAAATAAGTGTTGGAGAGAGACTCTTTTTTGTTTAAAATTAAAAAATAAAAATTAAAGAAAAATTAAAAATATCAGAAAAATATGTGGGATATGTAAACATAACTATTTAGTAATTAAAATGTCTAAAAATATTCTATTTTAGAAGAAAAAAATTTTTTTAATGGGGATTTTAGTAAGTATAACTAGAGACCGGACCGAGACGTGATCTCGAGCGAAAATCGCGGTTATCGAGATCTCGATTCTTGTAAGACACTCCCTGTCCGGTCTCTAATTATAAGAGTCAGTCGATTCTCGTTTGTAGTATACCAGAATGAAAGCTTCCAACTTGTGACCAATCAAAAAAATTTTTTTGGTGGTACAGAAACTGAAAGGAGGGATTGGTGGGGGTAAGAGATTCGACTGTTATAAAAAATTTTTTTCTTGAATAATATCGACAACCCTGAAATTAAAAATGATAGGAAGAAATAGGAAAAAATAGGAAAAAGAAAATTTAATTAAAATTAAAAGGAAGGGAATGTTTAAAAAAATTAATTAATTAAACTAAAATAATTGCAATATTATTTTAATTAACTAAAATTATTAATTAAATTAGAAATCGTCTTCTTCGAATAAATCGTCTATACCTTCACGGTTAGCTGAAGAGCTTAATAAGTTGCATTTGCAAAGTGGGGGATTGCAACACTAAAAATAATTTTTTAGTTTCTGTTCTGATTTTTATTCTGAACTTTTATTCTGAAATTTATATTCTGGTTTGTTCTGATATTTAATTCTGACTTGAGTTCTGATTTTTAATTCTGATTTTTAATTTTCTTATTTTTCTCTAGTTCTGATTTTTTCTTGTACTGATTTTCTGATTTTATTCTGTTCTGATACTTAATTCTGAATTTCTGACTCTATTCTGATTTTACTGATTTTCTGTTCTGGTTCTGATTTTATTTTCTGATTTTCTGTTTTGATATCTAGTTTTGATTTTTATTCTTTTATTTGTATTCTGGTCTCTGATTTTTATTCTGATTTTTAATTTTCTGATTTTTCTCTAGTTCTGATTTTCTGTTCTGATATTTTGTTCTAATTATGTCTTGATACTTAATTCTGAATTTCTGACTCTGTTCTGATTTTTCTGTGACTTTCTGTTCTGGTTTTCTTGTTCTGATTTTATCTTCTGATATTTCTGTTCTGATATCCAGTTCTGATTTTTATTCTGATTTTTTCCTTAAATTTACCGGATTGACAGCTTTTGAAAAATGCCCCAATTGTGGAGGTACATCAACAATAGAATCCAAATGTTCCACCAAAATACGTCCAACTTTAGCTAAAACACGTGCCACAACTCCTTTATCTCCTGTATCCACAAGCGGGTAGAGTTCGTAAGGATCGCGATATAAATCGTGAACAAGTGGAGGATCGTGACGAATTAATTGGCTTTCTGGGCAGGTTTGGCTGACATACCTGGAAATATTCTGATTTATAAATTCTGATTTTTAATTCTGATTTTTTTGATATTTGTTCTGGATTTATTCTGATTTAAATGTATTTAATGGTTGATATTTTCTGATTTTGTTCTAAATTCTGATTTATGTTCTGGTATTTAATTCTGATTTTGTTCTGTTTAATAGACTATGATTTTTATTCTGATTTATAAATTCTGATTTATAAATTCTGATTTTAAATTCTGATTTATGAATTCTGATTTTTAATTCTGATTTTTATTCTAATTTTTAACTTCTGATTTTTAATTCTGGTTTTAAATTCTGATATTTTTATTCTGATTTATAAATTCTGAAATTTTATTCTGATTTTCAACAACAAAACAATATCAACTAACCAATCAGCCCTCGGCTTTCCATCAGGACAGAATTCCTCCAAGTTAGGGTCTTTAGTAAAATTTTTGAAGATTGGCGATGTCATATAATGAACTTTATAATTTCCCCAACGTATAGCCATTAAATTTTTATTGCAATAAAAAAATATTGGGCGTCTTTCGCTAAGTGGTGGTAATCCTTTTAGAGCCAATCCATGCATGTGTGTACGCACATCGTTTGAAGTTTTTTGATTTTCGTTGGAGGAAGTTGCTGAGAATCCGAGCAATTCTGGCCAAATATTAATTCCGTCAGTTTTTCGTTTAGGGGTGTAATATTCGTCGTTATCGGCATCAAACGAATCGTCAGACAAATAGGCGGATTTCTGTTGGAATTTTATTTTAATAATTTTATTCTGATATTTTTAATTCTGATATAAATAGGCAATAACCGGAAGGTTTATAATAAAAATTAATTAAACAACCGGAAACTATAAATAAAGTAACCGGAAAGTATAAATTAAATTGACTAGAAATTTCCGGAAATAGTTAAATAATAAAAACCGGAACTTAACCGGAAGTTTATATTAAAATATGACCGGCAACAGGAAATTAACCGGAACCTAACCGGAAGCTTATATAATAGTAAAATATAACCGTAAGCTTAAATATATTAAAATATAACCGGAAAAATATAACCGGAAAAATATAACCGGAAAAATATAACCGGAAAGTCATTAAATTAAAATCAACCGGAATATAACCGGAAACACATATTATATTCTATCAACCGGAAATTTCTACAATTAATAAATTTACTTTCCGGTTACCCCTGTTTATTATTTGTTTAATACTTTCCGGTTTCTAACCGGAAAGTATAATAACATTTAAAAACTCGTTTTACCTTCACACTCCTTCCGGAAGTTGCAACTTGTTCAAACGTAGTAAATAAATCTAGTGAAGAAACAACTTCGTTTGAAACAACGCCTTGTCTTACTGTTCCAGGCATCCAGGTAGCAAAAGGAATTCTAAAAATTACTTGAGCGTTGTTAAGAGAGACAAGTACCTGAATTGAATTTTTTAAAAAAAAAAAAAAAAATTAAGAGAGACAAGTACCTGAATCCCCCCTCATAGCTATTAGACTTTCCCCCTTTCAGCCCAGCAGTAGACCCCCCATTATTACAAAGCTCCTGATGGGGTCCGTGGTCAGACATGAAGACTACAAGGGTGTTTCTATCAAGTCCATACTTGCGAAGGTCGCTAATAATCTCTCCCACTGACCAGGCCATTTCATTCAAATTGTCGCCGAAAAGGCCTTAAATTTGTCGGATTTTTTGAAAAAAATTTTCCCCTTTACCCCTCTCAGATTTTCCTTTAAATTGGTGATTAGCAAATTGTGTTGAGTGAACGTGGGGGTAAGAAAAATAGAAAAAGAATGGGTGTGTTGGATCAGCTAATGCTCGTTCTGAGAGAAATCGGCGCCAGTCGGTGAGTAGATCTTCCGTTAAATTTTCAAATTTTATTGGTTGTTGGACAATCTGTTGAGGGAAAAATTAATATTGTGAAAATTTAAATTCTGAGAGATGGACATTTTGAGAAATTGCGGGATCCCGCATGCGGGAGTAACTTTTAAAAACGTCTGCGGGACGGGATCCCGTGGGAATAATCCCGGAAAATCCCGCACTCCCGCAAATCCCGCGGGATCCCGCCCCTCCCGCAAAGCCCGTATCCCGCGGGAATTAATCCCGCAAATCGAAAAAAGTACGGGATTGCGGGAGCGATATCTCCCAAAATCCCCCGCGGGATCCCGCCCTCACCGGTCACTAAGTTAACTTAAACGGAGAGAATACCGTAACCCTCAACACCAATCTCCCTCTTGCTCACCTTATCTCCACTGTACAAAAAACATTTCAACGGGTTAGGCCCACTAGTAAAATAATCTTTAGTTTCGTCACACTCCCAGTTGTTTGTAAAAGGCAAATTTAATCCAACAAAGTCAAATCCTCTCCTTCCAGGTAAATAAGTACCATCAGAATAATTAAAAGCATTAATCCCCAAATGCCATTTTCCAACCATTCCCGTCTGGTATCCATTTAATTTTAACATTTCAGCCATTGTTGGTTCGTCTCGAGGAAGGCCTCCAGTATCTGTTACTAGGAATACACGGTTGCCGCCAACAATGCCTAGACGGATGGGGAGACGGCCTGAATAATTTTGGAGATTTTAGAAAATGAGCGTTAAGAGAATGGGGCATTTTGATAAGAGAATTGGACGTTTTGAGAGTTGGGTGCTTCAAAAATTGGGCATAATAAAATTTGGATATTTTGAGAATGGGGCATTTTGAGAACTGGACATGTTGAGTAAGGGAGGCCTCCAGGAAGTCCTCCTGATTGACCTCCAGTGAAGGCCTCCATTATGAGTATGGGACATTAAGAGATTTTGACGTTTGGAGGGAGGGTTGGGGCCAGATCTGCCCGGTCTGAAAGATCGAGTCGGTCATCGAATTTTGGCCCGAAAAAGACAATTCCTAGACGGAGGGACCCGGACCTGTTCCGATCTCTAGTTGGGGGCCCGATCCGCCCGGTCCAAAAGATGGAGTCGGGCATCGAGTCGGGCATCCCCTTCTTCGAGGTATCCAACTCCGATACCTCCGACACTCTTAGTTATCCTATCTGAGGTATTCAACTCAGGTATCTCACCCTCACTCAGTCCAAAGCACATGAATTAGGGTTAAGGCCAGGTCCGAAAGATAGAGTCGGGCATCGGATTTTGGCCCGAAAAAGACTCGGTCGGTCCGGCCTGATAAGAATGAGACCCGAAGAAAATGACTCGAACGTCGGCCCGACTTGAATACCTCAATCTTAATTCGGAGGGGAAGGGGAGGTCGGGTGGAAGGGATAAAAAAATTTTAAAATATCTAGAGCCTTCTCTAAAATTTTTTTTTCTAAAAATTCCTCCAAAAACTAACCAGTCATAAACCCAGCTCTACTCGGACTACACATAGAATCAGCTGCATAAGCATTAGTGAACCTTACACCCTCGGCCATCAAATCATCCACAGGTGTCCATTCTTGTGTTGGATTGCCATAACTTTGTAGGTCCCCATAGCCTAAATCGTCCACCATCAAAACAAGAATATTTGGACGTGAAGGGATTGCAGCGGAACGAATGGGGCCAATAATGGGTTTAATAAAGTCTTCGATAAAAGAATTGGTGGAAGGGTTAGAAGGCTGTTCCTCAACATTATCAGCTTCCTCATTATTAAAAACATTTTTGTTGGAAAGCCAATCTGCCATTTTTGTTTGTCTATTAGCTTTTAGAAGGGGAAAAATAGAGGAAAAAATTAAAAAATTTAAAATAAGGAGAAAAATGGATATTTGGGGAAGGCTGGCATTTTTGTTGCTATTTTTAGTTGATGGCATTATTTTTGTTGATATTTAATTTTATTATTTAATTAAGATTCTGAAATATTAGAAAATGTTTAAAATTTATTTTTAGATTTATTTCGGAGAGAGAAATAAATTTAATTAAATTAAGGGTATACGGTAATTAACGGGGGTAAGTTTGGTTTTTTAAAAATTTCTCAATGTTTTACTTAAAATAAAATTATATAATTATTTTTATTAAATAGAGCACACTTTTCTGCATATAATAAAACTTTAAAATAAAAGGATATCATATGGTTTGAGAAAGTTATGGAATTTTAAAAAGTTGAGGGCAGGCTGCGCAATAATTTTAGTTACTGCAGCTTTTTTGGAACTTCAATGCAAAAATAAACTTTTTTCACAAAATAAACTTTTTTTATAAAATAAAACACATAATTTTGAATATATATATTAATAAATAAAATTATTTAATAATTAAATAAATCCTATAAATTTAAAAAATATGGGCGTCGTCCCCCTTAAGGCTAGTTCTTAGAGGATTACACCCAGTTGTCTCGAACTAATATTTTTTTAATTATTTTTATAAAATAGAGTAGCTTATTCTGAATATATTAAAACTTTAAAATAGGCAAATATCACAACTTTGAACAAAGTTACGAATTTTTGAAAAGTTGCGGTCACGCACTATGAGACATACCTCTACCAATAAAAAATTAAAAATTAAAAAGAATTAAAAAATAAAAAAATATTAAAATGTTTAAATGTTTAATATGTCTATAAATAATAAATAGAGATAAAAAATACAAAAATAGGACACTTCCGGAATAATAAAAATAAATGGAAATTAATAATGTTAATAACTTAGACATTTAAGGGGATATATCCAAAAGAGGATATTCGGGGAAATTATTTACTTTTATGTTATTATGTATTCTAAGGCTTTCAAGCTAATAAAATAAATCGGCTTTAAAGGCTACTTAGGATAATTCACTGGAAAATTCAGTGAAATTATGACAAATTAATTTAATTGTTTATAAGGTCTAGGCAGTCGTGGTGGACTTAAAGGGCAATAACTTTTTAATGAATAGAGATATTAACGAGATCTTTTTTTCGTACGATAGAGGAGATAAAGAGCTTTAAAATGACCTAAGAAACTAATTTTTAGAATGAAAGTGAAATTGAGTTATTAATTTTTTTTGCGTTAGGGTAGAGCTTAATAATTGCGCACTTAAAGTCTTTTAAAATTCGCAACTTGAAGAAACTAAATTTAAAAATAATTTTTTCTAGAGTATTTTATAGCTTAAAATCTGCTCTTTCAGATGATATATAAAGCATAATTATAGCTTTAGTCATTAAAAAGTTGAAGGTCTCGAAACATGTTGAGAGCACGCAAAAGATGATGTTTTAAGCATAAGTTTAAAAATTCATAACTTTAAGAAAACTAAAAATATTTTTATTTTATTTTTAATTATTTAATAGCTTAAAATAGCTACTTTCTAGAAATATAAAAATTAGAATTCTATCATCATTCAAAAAAATATTTACAGTCGTCGACATAAAGATAGGGACAAGAGTAATTTAAATGTAAATTAACTATTTTTCAGTCAAAAAATACGTTCTATATATCAATCGAAAGCTCTATTCGTATCTCAGTTGACATGTTTTTGCATTTTTCATGAAAATGAAAATTGGCCGAGATAATCCGGATCTACCGGATATACCAAATCCCATAGCCTCGGAAAAAATTTTCGGAAAAAATTTAACAAACCCAGTTGATAAAGCATATTTTTGTGAGTATTTACCACAAAACCGCTTAGAAATATCTTTTTCCGGTCCAGAGATATGATTTTTTGAAAATGGCATTTTTCGTCTATTTTTGCAAAAAATTGAATTTTCAAGCGAAAAATGCCATTTTCAAAAAATCATATCTCCGTCCCGGAAAAAGATATTTCTAAGCTGTTTTTTGGTAACTACTCACAAAAATATGCTTTATCAAATGGGTTTGTTAGATTTTTTCCGAAAATTTTTTCCGAGGCTATGGGATTTGGTATATCCGGTAGATCCGGATTATCTCGGCCAATTTTCATTTTCATGAAAAATGCAGAAACATGTCAACTGAGATACGAATAGAGCTTTCGATTGATATATAGAACGTATTTTTTGACTGAAAAATAGTTAATTTACATTTAAATTACTCTTGTCCCTATCTTTATGTCGACTACTGTAAAAAATATTTTAGGTCAAGAAACACATTAAATACGAATTAAGGGGAAATAAAGGGAAGAAATTTAAAAATTGATAACTTTATTTGCCCTAAGGCTATCAATTTAATTTTTGGCTATTTTATAGCTTAAAGTCTCCTCTTTTAATTGATATAAAATTTTAATTTGTATCTGCACTTTACGAAAAGTTAGAGGACCTGAAAGACCTTTAAGTCAATTTAATTTTTGGTATATATAAAAATTAAGAGAAATAAAGGCGCAAACTTTAGAAATTCATAACCTGATTTAGCCTAAAGGTATTTATTTAATTTTTGGCAGATTTTATACCCTAAAGTCTCCTCTTTCAAAAGACATAAAAATCCTTTAGGTAGCTTCAATTAAAGAAAAGTTAGAGGTCTTTGAGTACCTTCAAGTCACTCCATATGAATTATGGGATAATAAAGGCGCAAACTTTAAAAATTCATAACTTTATTTTCCCTAAGGCTATCAATTTAATTTTTGAACATGTTAAAGCTTAATGTTTCCTCTTTCAAATGATATAAAAATATTAATTATATCTTGATTCAAAGAAAAGTTAAAGGCCCTGAAAGACCCTTAAGTCAATTTAATTTTTGCCATTAAATGAATTAATATAAAATAAAGGGAAGAAATTTAAAAATTCATAACTTAAATTAACTCTAAGCTACCAATTTAATTTTTGGCCATTTTATAGCTCAAAGTCTCTTCTTTCAAATGGGATAAAAATCTATTTTGTATCTCGGTTCAAAGAAAAGTTAGAGGACTTGAAAGACCTTTAGATTTAATCCATCAGCGAATATAAGGGATGCGCAAGTGTTAAAAAATTGTTTTATGTAAATATTCGAAAGTGTCTGGGAAAAAAAATTTTTTTTATATTTAAAAGCAATATGGATAAAAGGGGGGATTTTAACATTTTTAGAGAAGATTTATAATTTTTAATTTTAATATGCTTTTAATTTGCATTAAGTGCAGTCGTCAAAAAGAAGAAAAAGGCTTAGAAGGGATAGAAATGAAGCTTTAAAGGAATAAATTAAAGGAAAAATTAATTAAAATAAAAAATAAATTAAGTTGAGGGGGGTTTAAAAATTTTTTGGAAAATTTTGAAAATTTTTTGAAAATTTTTTTGGAAAAAATATTTTGAAAAAATCTAAAAAAATTTTTTAAAGTTCCAAAAAATAAAAAAAAATTTTTGAAAATTCAGAAAAATTTAAAAAAATATGCCAAAAATTTTTTTGAAAAATTTTTTGAGAATTTTTAAATTTTTAGAATTTTTCCGAAATTTTTTGAAAAAAATTTTAAAGCTTAAAAATTTTTTGGAAAATTTTTAATAAATTTTGGGAACATAAAATATCAAAAAATATTTTTTTAATAAATCTAAAATATTTTTTTAAATTTTTTAAGCACCTTATCAATAAAAATAAAATTTCAAAAATTAAATAAAAAAAATTATTTAAAAATAAACTGACCAAACAGCAAATAAATTAAGCCCATTTATATAGGCAAGCTTAAGCTTCAAGTTTAAACTTTAAAAATTAAAATTTCAAATTTTGACATTTTCTAATTAATTTTAAAATTAAAAGGGGCTTTTAAAGGGAATTTTAAAAATTCCAAAAAAATTTTTAAAATTGCCTCAGGCAATTTAAAAATAATTTAAAGGAGTGTTTCCCCCATTGTTTGCCTGCTTCCAGTAAAAATGCCAGGCGTCTTCCAAAAATAAAAATAAAAATTTTTTTCGTCTTTTTTGGCGTCATTTCAATAAATAAATAAAAATAAATATTTCTTTTCCCTATTTAAAAGGTTATAGACCAGAAATCTTTTTTTTAAATTTTTTTTTAATTTTTTAAATTTTTTCCTTCCACTTCCAGCAAACGACCTTTAAAAATAAATTCTCGAAAAAATTTTTTTTTCGAGAATTCACGTAAATATTAAAAATAATAAAAAATGAAAGGGATTTAATTGAAAGTGAGAGAAAATTAATTGAGAAAATTTATTTTTAAAAGGGCTGGTGGAAAAGGGGAGGGGAGTAAGAAAATGGGGCGTGGCCTAAAGTAGCCAAGTAGGGGGGGGGGGGGATTTTTTGGAGAGAATTAATTAATTTATTATTTTTTAATGTTTTTTAGAGGGGGATAAGCTGATTGTTGATATTTTGGGTTGAAAAGAAGGGAAAATAAAAAAATATGGGAAAATACAGAAGAATTGAGAAGAATGTTTTAAGGGGTAGGAGGGCGTTTTTGTCGATTTTAAAATTTAAAATAAAATTTAAAAAAGTATAAAATGCCCTAAAATGAGTAAAAAGGTTGTCAAAATATACCTATTCTAAATTGTTTTAGAATTTAATAGAGAAAAAGTTGATTTTTGGGGGAAAAATATTTTAAAGGAGAGTGGTTGAGGTGCGCGACCACAACTTTTTGAAAAATCATAACTTTGTTGGATGACAAGTTTTCTGGAAATTTTAAAGTTTTAAAATACTCAGAAAAGTGTGATCTATCTCATAAAAATAATTAAAAAATTATATATTGAGTAAAACTTGAAGAAAATTTCAAAAAACTTGCTCTAGGTGGATAACCTTAATTATTCAAAAATTCATAATTTAAACAGAAAAAGGGATAATAAATTAATTTAAAATGATAAAAATACACAAAAATGTGTCTTTTATTTTATAAAAATAATTTCAGATTAGCAAGTCGAGAAAAAATGGCAAAAAAATTTTTTCTAAAATTATAGTTACCATATAAGGGCAATAGCCTATAAGGGCAATTATCTCACGATCTAAAATTTTTTAAAGTTTAATATTTTTTGTAAAATACT